TAACAGAGCTCGAGTACTGTGCTGGGGGATCTATTGCTCCCTTCAGGGCTGCTGGGCAAAGACACTTAAGTCTGCTGAGGCAGAACTCACAATTGCCCCCTTTCCCAGGTGCTCTGTCCTAGGAAGGTGGGGGCTTTGCAACTCCCTGACCAGTTGCTATATAAGACAAGGATGCCCTCTCGCACCACTTCTATTCAACACAGTATTGGAAGTTCTGGCTAGAGAAAGAAATACAGCGTATTCAATTAGGAAAAGAGGATGTCAAATTGTCCCTGTTTGCAGATGACATGATTGTATATTTAGAAAACCCCATCATCTCAGCCCCAAATCTCCTTAAGCTGATAAGTAACTTAAACAAAATCTCAGGATACAAAATCAATGTGCAAAAAATCACAAGCATTCCTATACACCAATAACAGACAAACAGAGAGCCAAATCATGAGTGAACTCCCATTCACAGTTACTACAAAGAGAATAAAATACCTAGGAATATCACTAAAAAGGGATGTAAAGGACCTCTTCAAGGAGAACTACAAACTGCTGCTCAAGGAAATAAGACAGGACACAAAAAGATGGAAAAACGTTCCATGCTCATGGTTAGGAAGAATCAATATTGTGAAAATGGCTATACTGCCCAAAGTAATTTATAGATTTGATGCTATCCCCATCAAGCTACCAATCAGTTTCTTCACAGAATTGGAAAAACCACCTTAAACTTCATATGGAACCAAAAGAGAGCCCACAAAGCCAAGACAATCCTATGAAAAAAAAAAAAAAAAAGCTGGAAGCATCACACTACCTGACGTCAAACTATATTACAAGGCTACTATAATCAAAACAGCATGGTACTGGTACAAAAACAGAGACATGGATGAATGGAACACAACAGAGGCCTCCAAAGGACCGCCACACAACTGAAACCATCTGATCTTTGACAAACCTGACAAAAACAAGCAATGGGGAAAGGATTTCCTATTTAATAAATGGCTTTGGGAAAACTGGCTAGCCATACACAGAAAGCTAACTGGATCCCCTCCTTATACCTTATACAAAAATTAACTCTAGATGGATTAAAGATTTAAACATGAGGCCGAACACCATAAAAACTCTAGAAGAAAACCTAGGCAATACAATCCAGGACATAGGCATGGGCAAGAACTTCATGACTAAAACACCAAAAGCAATGGCAACAAAAGCCAAAATAGACAAATGGGATCTAATTAAACTTAAGAGCTTCTGTAAAGCAAAATAAACTATCAATAGAGTGAACCTGCAACCAATGAAATGGGAGAAAATTTTTGCAATCTACCCATCTGACAAAGGGCTAATATCTGCAATCTGTAAAGAACTTAAACAACTTTACAAGAAAAAAAAAAAAAGAAACAAACCCATCAAAAAGTGGGCAAAAGATATGAACAGACCCTTCTCAAAAGAAGACATTTGTGCAGCCAACAAACATGAAAAGAAGCTTGTCATTACAGAAATGCAAATCAAAACCACATTGAGATACCACCTCAAGCCAGTTAGAGTGGCAATCATTAAAAAATCAGGAGACAACAGATGCTGGAGAGGATGTGAAGAAATAGGAACACTTTTACACTGTTGGTGGGAGTGTAAATTAATTCGACCACTGTGGAAAACAGTGTGGTGATTCCTCAAGGGTCTAGAATTAGAAATACCATTTGACTCAGCAATCCCATTACTGGGTATATACCCAAAGGATTATAAATCATTCTATTACAGAGACACATGCACACGTATGTTTATTGCAGCACTGTTCACAATAACAAAAATTTGGAACCAACCCAAATGCCCATCCATGATAGACTGGATAAGAAAATGTGGCACATATACACCATGGAATACTATGCAGCCATTAAAAAAAGATGAGTCCATGTCCTTTGCAGGGACATGGATGAAACTGGAAACCATCATTCTCAGCAAACTGACACAAGAACAGAAAACCAAATACTGCATGTTCTCACTCATAAGTAGGTGTTGAACAATGAGAACACATGGACACAGGGAGGGGAACATCACATACTGGGGCCTGGGGGTTGGGGGGCTAGGGGAGGAAGAGCAGAGGGTGGGGGGATAGGGAGGGATAGCATTAGGATAAATACCTAATGTAGATGATGGGCAATGGATGCAGCAAACCATTACCATGGTACGTGTATACCTATGTAACAAACCTGCACGTTCTGCAAATGTACACCAGAACTTAATGTATAATAAATAAATAAAAATAACGTAATGCATAAGTTGAGAGAGTTTCTGTCAGATGGTTTCTGTCATTCTATTTTTAAAATATTATTAAGGTGTGAGGCAACCTGCTGAGCATTAGTAAACATTTTGGATAGTTCAGAGGTAAGAAAATAAACATGGAGCCACTAACTAGTTTTTAGCAGGAAATGACATTATCAGATTTGAATTTAAGAAAGTTCCGTCTGGTAAGAGGTATGGCAGAATGGCAGTAGTGCTGTATTTTTGAGTGACCTAAAAAGATGCATAAAAGGATAATAAATGCAGGAAAGAAAATATTCCTTAACCAAGGTAACAGCAAGTTGCTAGAGACGGGGCAGCACAGTTGAGAGTTATTTAGAAGGAAGCAAGGATGACTTAAACACTTGCTTGGATAACCAGGTTAATGATGAAAACCAAAGCATAAAAGTTGCAAATAGATAAAGGAGAAGGAAAGTGATGAGCTTGTTTAGGAAACGATAACTATTAGGTACCTGAAGTATATCCTAGCAGAGAGATCCAGTAGGCAGATGGTTCTTACAGTATGAGGATAAATATGAACTGACATAATCAGTGGTGTGTGTAGATGTGTGTGTGTGTGTGTATATATGAGGAAATTGATCCCATGGGAGAGATGGGACCACCAAATGATGGCTAAGTGATTCTAAGATCACTTTAAAACAGCAAGAAGTGGGCTGAAAACAGAGCCCTGGTTAATATCCATCAAGGAGGAAAACTTGATGGATACCAAATAAGGAAGAATGGTCAACAACGTCAGATGCCACAAAATGATCCAGGAAGATAAAGAATATAAAGTGTCCATTGGATTTAATAAGTGGTCATACCACACCAACTTGGTGAAGAAGAAAGAAATGGCTGAAGAGAGAATGCTAATTGAGCCAGTGAAGGCAGAGTCAACACTGCTCAAAAAAATTTCTAAATGTTTGCCAGAGGAGGAAAGAGATGACAAAGCAAACACACAGGAATAGAGTCCATGAGTGCTTTTCATTAAAAAGAAAAAGTTATTGGAGGAAGGCAAACAGCAAACAGATAGGGAGAATTGGAAGATACAGAAAAAGGATGATTTGCATGGGGATAACTGATGAAGGAATCAACACCCTCAAGAAAGGAGGATAAGAAAAGATTCAAAGCAGAGGTAGAGAGATTGGCCTTAAACTTGAGAGAAGAAAAAGGAGGTTCAGAAGCTATTTAGAATATTTCAGAAAGCCTTCTGGAAATTGCAATTAAATAGAATGTCAAGTTTCTTTACTTTTGGCAGGCATTAAATCAACCCTGTGGGTTAACACTGGTAATATTGCATGCTGACCAGAAATTCTAATTTGCTGTTGATGACATCACAGAAATGTCTAGAATGTGATTGGCAGACCATATATTGTTAGCAGAGTTATCTGGTTTTTACAGTATCTAATTCTTAAAGCATGTGATTAACCTCCGATCAGAATGACAGCCAATATTAAAAGGCTATTTGCAGGGAACAGCCCTTAAGTGTTTGTACACTTATTTAACTTTATTGCTTATTAGCATTACATCCATGACAGTGATGTATGTGATTTCATTTAAGTGACAAAATATTTCAAGATATGAGTCCGTGGATGAAAACATAATAAAGAGTCCTTGGATGAAAAGAATGGAAATGAGTATAGAAGATCTCCACAGTCCATTCATATCTAATAGTCTATAATTTTAAGAGGGGCCTATAAGCACAAGTTCAGGAATGGCTAAATGGGAAAGTTGTAAAGAATACCTGACAACACCCCAACTAAACAATGACTCACTCTGAACAAGGTAAGGCAAGTAGAATGGCAAGTAATGTAAATAACCATTCCGATCTGGAAATAAGCACAAGAAAAACCATTTAAAAAAGGGGTGGGGTGGGAGCGAGAGGAAAGTAGGGATAACAAGTGCTTTATTAAGGAAATGGAGTGCTGGCTTTATTGAGAATCAAAAAACATGAACCAACATTACTGGAGTGGATGATTGTCATAAGCACATTAAAAAAATTTTTTTTTTGGCTGGACATGGTGGCTCACCCTGTAATCCCAGCACTTTCCGAGGCTGAGGCGGGTGGATCATTTAAGGTCAGGAGTTGGAGGTCAGCCTGAGTAACATGGTGAAACCCCCCGTCTCTACTAAAATACAAAAATTAGCCGGGCATGGTGGCAGGAGCCTGTAATCTCAGCTACTCGGGAGGCTGAGTCAGGAGAATCACTTGAACCCAGCAAGCGGAGGTTGCAGTGAGCCAAGATCGTGCCACTGCACTCCAGCCTGGACAACAGAGCGAGACTCCCTCTCAAAAAAATAAAATTTTTTTTTTTAGCATATCGACCTAGCCAACCATGTGTAAATACAAGTGAGAGTCAGTCTCTTTTCTCATCAACACCTACACTAAGTTAGGCTCCTGTAGCTTCCACTCTGTACTTTGGTGTACCTTCGCCCACTGGAACTGGGCAAACTGAGGGCATTAAAAAATGGTTTAAGAGAATAAGGCCAAGGCAGTGAGTTAAGTATTAAGACTTGTCTTACTCCTAGGTTGGATGCCAGCACTCTCAACATCTGGCCAGCAGCCGGGGGCAGCCAGACTGACCAGCCAGGCCACGGAGAGCCATACAATAAACGACCTTAGGGTAGCCTTCGCATCTGGGCGGGTTCTGGCAGTAAAAGACTGAGAAAGGGCAGTGTTGGGTTAGGAAGGAGGGGGACGGTGTGTACTTTCCTCCCGGAACTGTAGTTCTATTGTCCCAACCCGGGCTCAGGTAGCGGCCAGTAAACTAGGAGACAGCCCTAAGCCTCGCGTCCGGGCCAGACGTGTATGCCTCGCACCCTCTCCTCACACCCCCATGGCTCTGCCGCCGCAGCCGCCGCCCGCCGGGGCCCGTGACCCGGTGACCCCGGAGCACTGGGCATCCCGACCCCCCTCGCCGGCGCAGCCGCTATTAAAGCAGGAGGCTAAAGAGGAGGAGGAAGGGGAGGAGACAGGCATCCAGGGCGCCTGGGGAACCAGCACGCCGGAGCAGCGGCGGCGGGGCTTCGGAGAGGCCGCCCAGCCGGCCGACTCGGCCGAGGAGGGGCAGGCGAAGGCCGGGGGCGCCGCGGCCGCGAGGTCAGGTTCCCCGGCGGGAGGCGCAGGTGGCGGCGGCGAGGGCTGGCAGCGGCTCCTCGCCTGGCTGCAGCGGAGGCAGCCCCAGTGCTGCCCCTGTGCGGCGCCCCTTCCCCGCTCTGCCGCGCACTGTTGTCATGGAGGAACCAAGATGGCGGCTCTGGCCTACAACCTGGGCAAGCGGGAGATCAACCACTACTTCAGCGTGAGGAGCGCCAAAGTGCTGGCGCTGGTGGCTGTGCTGCTGCTCGCAGCGTGCCACCTCGCCTCCCGCCGCTACCGAGGTGAGCGGGCCCTCCCCCCTGCCCGGGCAGGCCGTGGGGGAGGCGGCGACGCGGTGGCTGGAGGCCGCCCCCCTCGCCCAACACACGCCCACGCGGCCTCCCGCCCGCCGGGCCCGCGGGGGAGGCGGTTCCCCCACGTGCCCCCAGGTGTCCCTACCAGCTGGCCGGCGCCCCAGGCCAACCGAGTGGACCCCAGTGCGGGTCACCACAGGACAATGGCTGGTGGTTCGCCCCCCCCCCCCCCACCGCCCCCGAGCCGCCCGCCCTGGGGTCGGGGGCGCAAACCTTGGGCCAAGCCCAAGGTGCTGCCAAGGTCCGGCTCCTGAGCGGTCTGGGTTCCGGGAGACGCACCAGGTCAGGGGCTCGCGTGCAGGAGGTCGGACAGGCGGCCCTTGGAGGCAGCCCGGGGCACGTGAAGCCCAAGCCGCCCTGCAAGGGACACCTCTGCCAGGAGTGGGGTCGCAGGTCCAACCTCTTAAGGATCCGGCTCTTTAGCCTTTGTTTAATTTTGCTTCTGCCCTGTAACACCCAGTTTGGGCTGTTGGACAGCGGCAAGGGCCGCCCCCCCCCCAATTTTTTTTTTGCCAAAAGGGTGATAGCTGGCAAAAGATGTCTGTGGTTAAATGGAAGAGGTGCCACCCAGCTTTTGTGATTCAGAAACGTTTAAAGGGTTTGGAGTGCACACTTTTTACAAAGTAAAGGCAGATTTTTGGAAAAAAGTTATGGGTTGACAGGGGTAAAGGTTGGCAGTGGAAACAAGTTGTAAGCAGTATGAAAGCAGGCCCTGGCCATGGGTTTTGAAATTGGTGTAAAAGGGAAAAGGAAATATGACGTTATTTCAGAAGGAATTACCTTTCAGTGATCAAGGGATATTTACTTGTCCTTGTTGATTGATTTTTCTTTCTCTGTAAAAATGCCACTAGGAAAGTCTGACAGGCAGAGGGAAATTAATAATGATAGGATCTTTTATTTTTGGCTCTTAATACTATCAAAGCCACTATCTGGACAGCTCTTGGTGGCTGTGAGATTAATCAGTCAAGATATAATGTGTAATGGACAGGTGTAAATTAACGCTGTGCCGGTTTAACTTTACACCTACTTGGGCACAATATTCATAAATGGGGTGCTAGAGCCAGTGATGTAGCTTCATCCCAGGAGATCGTTCAAGGTACAGGGCATTTTGGTCAGTTTTGGTTTTTCAGTTTGCTGCTTTCCTCCAACTCCTGAGAATTAAAAATCTTATACTCAAGAGCTATACTGAGTGAACCGTTTTTAATATACTAAATTGATACAAAGATATAGATTCTTTATAAACTTTTGGCCTCTCTCCAGCTCTCTCCAGATCATAGCCATATGACCTGGCAGGGCCTTGGTTCATCTACAGTCATGTAAAACTAGCAATGTTGATGCATTGATTTGTGGTAGTTTTGAGGAAATATTTGTTTTAACTACCCTTAATCATTTTATGACAATTTGGCATAAAATAGCGGTAATTTAATTCAATTTTGTGTATGTGATGGTAGTAGAAATTTTATAACTACAGTACTATTGTCCTAAGGTAAAATTCTGGTTCCCTTCTTTTTTTTTTTTTTAATTGTGCTTATTATCTTTTGATAAGCTTGGAATACTATTATTTTTAGATTACAGTTTTCATCTTATCAAGATCTGTTATCAGTAGGGAGAATAGAATGTCAGATGGGGACTTATGAGTAACTGTAGCAATCCGGGATTGTTTTGTAAAGTCTTCTCCAGAAGTAAGTCATCAGTTTCCATAGGTACTTCAGTGCCTTGAGTGTGAAGCACTACACCTGGTGTGTGGATTTGCCCAGACTGAATGTCAAGAATTTGAGCTGAAGACATTGGGAAAAATAAACATCTTACCAGGAACATCTTAGCCATCCTCATGCTTTGGCAGTATCAAACTGAGTCAGGTGCAATGCCCTTCACACAAAGATAATCATACATTTGACTCACATAACTCTTCAGGACAGACGTGGCCAATTTTTTGACTACTATGGGCACATTGGAAGAAGAAGAATTGTCTTTGGGCCACACATAAAATACACTAGCAATAGCCGATGAGATTTTAAAAATTGCAAAAACACTCCTGTGTCGTTTTAAGAAAGTTTATGAATTTGGACTACATTCAAAGCTGTCCTGGGCCGCCAGCAGCCCAGACCATGCACATCTTGGACAATCTTGCTTTAGAGTGAGAAAGGATCTTACAGTACATGAAGGGAATTAGGCTGTATATTTGAATTTTGAATCTGTGAGTATCAATGTGTTACAGGCAAGGTACAGTAAAGGCAGTTTGGATGTAAACATATTCAGTTTCTCTTGCTTTACAAACTATATAAAGTAAAAGAAAATTACCCACTACAGAAAGTAAAGCTTGGCAAATAGTGTGTGCTAGGATTGAGCGCTTGTATGTCAGGGACTGTTATACTAAAGGTTTTACATGTTTTAACTCATTTTGTCTTTGTAACCATTCTATGAGGTAGAGACAATTACCATATTTCATTCCCCCCCATCATTTTTAACATCTCTGTAATCAGATGAGTCTTTAAAACTTTGATTGCATGTCAAAGTTTAATTGGTAACATTTTTGTCTTACTATGACATAAAATAATCATGTGTCTTATAATCAATAGTCTTAGATTCAGTGAATTACAATATTATTTCCATTTTAAAGATGAAGCATGACAGATAAAATAAATTGCCTAAGGATGCACAATGACTGAGATAGGATTTAGATTGCAGTTAGTCTGTCTCATGCCTTATGTTACAGTCTGTCTTTCTCAGAGCTTCTTAGACAGTTGGGAGTATAGAAGATGGAGTAAGAAAGCATTTTCCAGGGAAGCATGGGTTAAACAACGTAGAAACACTAATTCAGGCTAGGCACAGTGGCTCATGCCTGTAATCCCAGCACTTTGGGAGGCCAAGGCAGGAGGATCACTTGAGGTCAGGAGTTTGAGACCAGCCTGGCCAACATGGTGAAACCCTCTCTACTAAAAATACAACAATTAGCTGGGCATGGTAGTGGGCACCTGTAATCCCAGCTACTGGGGAGGCTGAGGCAGGGAGAATTGCTTGAACCCGGGAGGCGGAGGTTGCAGTGAGCAGTGATATAGGCATTGCACTCCAGCCTGCGTGACAGAGTGAGACCCTGTCTCAAAAAAAAAAAAAAAGAAACACTAATTCAACTTCATTGTACTAGTAAGAGTTTTTCTATTCTTTTTCCAGCCAGGAGGTAATTTTCTAAAAGTTGTTTGTGTAAAGCTTCAAAATCTGACCTGAGCTTACTTTTTCTTACCTATGTTTTTTCCTATTTTCCCCAAATTCCAGGTTCACAATCTAAATGTGCTTTGCCCATTTACACATCTCACAGTTACCGATTTTCTCTGCCTACAATGACTTCTCTCTTGAAAGAAAGTATAGGTTTTCCTTCAAGGCCTGGTTCAAATGTCACCCCCAGAGCAGTAGGAATTAGCAATTTAATTTTACCAGCAATTTATACATACTTATTGTGTTGTATTGTAATAATTGGTATCTGCCTACCCACACAAACTGTGAGCTTTCAGTAGTATCTTATTCATCTTTAAATCTTTAAATCATCAGAGCCTAACACACAATAGGAAACCCTTAAATAACTATGGATAAATAGATTTCAAACTCCTTATTTCCTTTTATGGTTTTTTTGTGGCTTTAAATGAATTTCATGTTCTAATCTGAATTTTAGAAGGTAGGCTTTTAAAAATTATTATTATTTTCACATAATAAAGGGACATTTTGAAAATAATTATCGTCTTAATTATACTTTTTCCAAATGTTATCAATTTCTAACATTATGAATCTCAAATGTCCATTATTAGTGTGATTACAGGTTAAAAACGTAATTTCTGTGACAATTGACCAATATATGTATCCTTAAGGATAGTTCCAATCTGGTAAAATTTTAATTTCTTAAATTGATAACAGTAACTTCAAGTGTCTTAATTTTGTTGAAATCAAAATTTTTTTTTAATCACTAAGCATATTAAATCCCGGTGTTAAATGATATTTGATGTTCTGCAGAAAAGTAAGTTGAAAGCTTCAAAAATTAAAGGAAGAAAGTAGCAGCTCTGGGTCTCTTAGCCTTTTCTTTCTTTGACTGTTAGAAAGTTCCTGATCTATATGATACCACTTGTAATGAGCCACTCCTTGCTTTTCTAAAGAAAAATTTTAATGGTGATTTTCAGCACAGACTAAAGTATAACTTGCTGTATCTTAGGCAAACAAAATATTCTATGGACTATATTGTAAACTTTATGATCTGGTATTTTAATGGTTGGTAGTAGGAAATACACAGTTTTAGCAGGATGATTCAGTGTAAAGGTGTAGTGTGCCAGACATATGCTCTTCAAGCGAAAACATAACTTGCAGTTTATATGGGCCATCAGATGTTTCCTTTAGTTGTCACATTTTATTTTTCGGTTTGTTTTTGTTTGTTTGCTTTGAAGTAATCTTCTATCACAGAAAAATCATGCTTAAAATTCTGAGATTGTAGATTGACAAACCAGAATGCTTATAGTTAAGATAATAGAATAAATAAAGAGGAAGACAGCCATTCATCCAGATAATCTTAGTATTGGAGATAGCTGAAGTAGATAAATCTGTCCCTTTAGTTTCATTTGTGTGTATATGTTTCTTCCTTGATTTATCTGAGCACTTGGCAACATTTATCTCACATTAGTTGTATTAAAATAGCTATCAAAGTTATACTAGATAATTGAAAATAACAACTGAAGTTTTGTTTTGTCTTTGGCAAATTTGGAAAGGAAAATATGTGGCAACAAATATTTATATATAGTTAGTGTAAATATTCACATTATCTTAAGATCTAGATTTATATTTAGCAACTTGATTTTAAAAAACTTCCGTCCCAAAAAAAGAGAATTTGTTTTAGAGTATGAAGTTTTTTTTTCTTGAGACGGAGTTTCTCTCTTGTTACCCAGGCTGGAGTGCAATGGCTCGATCTCGGCTCACTGCAACTTCCGCCTCCTGGGTTCAGGCAATTCTCCTGCCTCAGCCTCCTGAGTAGCTGGGATTACAGGCACGCACCACCATGCCCAGCTAATTTTTTGTATTTTTAGTAGAGACGGGGTTTCACCATGTTGACCAGGATGGTCTCGATCTCTTGACCTCGTGATCCACCCGCCTCAGCCTCCCAAAGTGCTGGGATTACAGGCGTGAGCCACTGCGCCCAGCCTTGGAGTATGACATTTTATGGCATATTTTCTGGATCAGGGTAATTTATTTTAACTAGATTATAATAGGAAGAGTAATTTATTATTACTATTTTTGCTGACATACAGAAAAATCATTCTCTTCTTGCTTTTTCAGTTGTCTACTTAACAATCCTTTGTATTAGATTCTATTAAAATTACAGGACCCTAGCCAATATGATACAGACACATATGGATTAATGTCGGATACAAGCCTTGTAAAAAAAAAAAATCTTTGCATTATGAAATATATTAAGTCATCATCAACTAGCATTCATTAGCAAATTAAGAATTTCTTCCATGGAAAGATCAGTATTCTCTAAAATACTATGTTTATAATGCCTTTGGGTAGTGACAACTTCAAATCTTATTTTCCTTTTTTTTTTTTTTGATATGAGTTTATCAGATTGGAGCTGTTGTTTTCCATCAACTCAACAACTGAGAAACAAGATGTGGGTAGAAGTATTGACTGGAGGCAAAAAAAGTTGTTTGTATTTTAGATGTGTTTTCTGGGGAGAAAAGACTGGTTATTTTGAGATACTGGTATGGTGTTTCTATCTCTATAAAAAACATATTGGAGCACTTTGGGAGGCCGAGGCAGGTAGATCATGAGGTCAAGAGATCGAGACCATCCTGGTCAACATGGTAAAACCCCATCTCTACTAAAAATACAAAAAATTAGCTGGGCATGGTGGTGTGTGCCTGTAATCCCAGCTACTCAGGAGGCTGAGGCAGGAGAATTGCCTGAACCTAAGAGGCAGAGGTTGCAGTGAGCCGAGATTGTGCCATTGTACTTCAGCCTGGGTAACAAGAGCGAAACTCTGTCTCAAAAAAAAAAAAAACCATATTGGTGCCAGGCAAGGTGGCTCATGCCTGTAATCCCAGCACTTTGGGAAGCTGAGGTGGGTGGATCACAAGGTCAGGACATCGAGATCATCCTGGGCAACATGGTGAAACCCTGTCTCTACTGAATATACAAAAATTAACTGGGCATGGTGGCAAGTGCCTGTAATCCCAGCTTCTCGGGAGGCCAAGGCAGGAGAATCGCTTGAACCCGGGAGGTGGAGGTTGCAGTCAGCTGAGATTGCGCCATTGCACTCCAGCCTGGCAACAGAGAAAACTCCGTCTCAAAAAAAAAATTGTGCGTAACCCCCACATAGATGAGTAATCCTGGACACTGAAGTTTGACTAAGGTGTGTTTCTGTCTAGACTTTTATTAAAAGACAAAAGGCAAATAACACACACAGCCCCCAAAAAAAGGGGGAAAGGAGAAAGAAAAAAGAAGACTTACCCCAAAGGATTAACACCTAGTTATTTACAACTTAACAACTTAAAAAAAAAAAATAGATGTATTGCTAACTTTTAACTTGGTTTAGTAGATTTAAAGAGAAATGCTGTAAATATGGAATTTTCACTTGAATTTTAAACATTTACTAGGCTTTAATAAGATTTTACCATATGGCCTTTATAAAAGAATGCTACAGGAATGCTATTTGTAGAAAAATCAGTTGTGTGATTCTACAGTTCTTTTTTTTACTCATCCTTGGTTATTTATGTAGCTTAATTTTGTTTTTTAGAACCAGAATTAGTTTTTAATAATTGGGGGAAATGAAGAACTAATTATTTGTAGTTTACCTAGAGACAGGTTATTAAAAAATATTTGAAATACAAAAAAAAAGCCTGCTTAGGCTGTATATGTAGTTACACAAATTTAATAATTCATATCCTGCTTTCCTTACCCAGTTTCCCATCAATAAGATAATGCAACATTTTAACTTTTTTTCTGTTCTACTTTAGAATTATGACATAGGAAACAACAATACTTTCAATATTTATGCATACTTATCTTGCATTTGTATCACCTTTTGTCTGTATTTTGGCTAGATAATGAATAACTGGATTGAGAAAAGAGATGTGTTCTGCTACTTTAAATATCTTTGTGTCTACCTTATCTCTACCCTGAAAAGCTCAATATCATTTCTGTTCTGCAGTATTCCTCCTCTCAGACTCCCTAGCCTGACCTTAACTAAATGTCAAGTATAACTTGCTGTTGACTATTAATAAATAACTGGAGATTAAATTAAATAATGCTTATATTTTGTTATATTCCCCATAGTTAACCTAAACATCTCATTTTGCCCCCACATCCCCCTGTCCTATCCCACCATCACCCTGCCCTACCCCATTCCTTTGACATGTTTGAGCTTAAATGCATATAAACTCTCTTTTAACCCCTTTGACTATTTAGCTAATGTACAGTAAAATATCCAAATGTGTAGAGTAACTCTGCCACAGTTTACTTTGGACTGAGGAGTTTGTAGTTACAGAACTTTCTGTATAAAACTAGGTTTCCAGGTATGCTGATGCACTATGTGTTATAAGAGTTGAATAGGAAGTAATTTCCAAAGTCTTATCTTTCACCCCTTACTTTTTTTTTTATGAGACAGAGTCTCACTCTGTCACCCACGCTGTAGTGCAGTGGCATGATCTCAGATCACTGCAACCTCCACTTCCTGGGTTCAAGTGATTATCATGCCTCAGCCTCCCGAGTAGCTGGGACTACGGACGTGTGCCAGCACACCCAGCTAATTTTTGTATTTTTAGTACAGATGAGGTTTCACCATGTTGGCCTGACTGGTCTTGAACTCCTGACCTCAAGTGATCTACCCGCCTTGACCTCCTAAAGTGCTGGGATTACAGGTGTGAGCCACCATGCCTGACCTCCCTTAAACTATTCTTTCTCAGCTAGAAGTAGGAGTGATATTCAAATATAAAGGCTAATTTAAGGTTGAGATGATATCCCAGGAAAGAAAACCTGAAGTAGAAGGAACTGCCAAAGCAGGGAACATAGCATTTAGGAGTTAGGCCATCAGTGGCTCTTGTTTTCTTAAATACTAATGTATTAATATTTACCATGTTTCTCATGAATGAGTAATATGAACCTGGATGGTGTAATAAAACATAGAAACTCTACTTTTTTATTTCAAGGATCTTACATAGGGTCAAGTTAGCTGATGTGTAAAATTTTAACTATTGTTTACAACACTGTTGTGTTTAACTGTTTTAGGCAATGATTCATGTGAATACCTTCTCTCAAGTGGCAGATTTCTGGGAGAGAAAGTTTGGCAGCCTCATAGTTGTATGATGCATAAATACAAAATCAGGTAACATTTCTTCATTTTGTTGTTTGTTTTCTTTTTTAGGATGGGTCTTAATATGTAGTGGAGAAGGGGTTGGTGAAACAGTACTTTTCTTCTTTATGTTAGGGTGGAGACTTGCTGACTGAGTGTACGGTTGATTGCAAATGAAGATTTCACTGCCCTCTAAGGTTTTAGGGAAGGGCTTTGGCCAATCTGCTTTGTCTCAGGTGAAAGATAACCAGGGCTAAGGCAATAATCCTTGAGCAAAAGACTTTGCTCTGGCATCTGCTGGATACTTATGGAGTTATTCTAAGGATTATGAGATAATAGATATAAAGCACCTAATACAGTTAGAGTACATCTTAAATATGTAATAAATCGAGCTATTACAGAGAGTTAACTGATCATAAGTACATGGAGTGGTAAGTTAAACCTGGCCACCTGCTTATAAAGCAATGTAATGGTATGTGTAACAATCCAGTACAATTTTCTTCAAAAACTGTGTGCTTCGAAATGCCCATATGGCTGATTTTACTTATTTTAATTAATTTTTCTTTGTTGATTTCAGTGAAGCAAAGAACTGCCTTGTAGATAAACATATTGCATTTATTGGAGATTCCAGAATTCGTCAATTGTTTTATTCTTTTGTAAAAATAATTAATCCCCAGTTCAAAGAAGAAGGAAATAAGGTAAAACTTGTCTATTCCCTTCTGTAGAGTATTTTAGAAGTTAACCAACTGAATAGTTATAGGAGGAATGTGTCTCTCCAGATTGAGTAGGAGCTGAAAAAAATTTTACTTTGATTTTCAGAAAGGTTGGGGAAAAAGAGAGATGACTTGCTTTAATGAGGAAAATGAGAAAAAAAATGGTGGCTAAAACACAAGCTTTTTTTTTTTAAATTTTATTTTTTATTTATTTATTTTTTATGTGACGGAGTCTCACTCTGTCTCCAGGCTGGAGTGCATTGATGTGATCTTGGCTCACTGCAACCTCCAACTCTCTGGTTCAAGCAACTCACCTGCCTCAGCCCCCCGAGTAGCTGGGATTATAGGAAGGCGCCACCACATCCAGCTAATTTTTGTATTTTTAGTAGATACAGAGTTTCACAGGGTTAGCCAGGATGATCTCGATCTCCTGACCTCGTGATCCACTCACCTCAGCCTCCTAAAGAGCTAGGATTACAGGCGTGAGCCACCACTCCCAGTCTGGCAAGCTTTTTATTTTAATAACCTAAACTTTTAGTTTCAGAAATAATAAATTCCTACCATGGAAGAACTTTTAAATTTCCTTAGAAAGAAGACAAAGAGAAAATATCATCCCTTATTCTCTTGTTAGTATTTTTCCATACTTCTTTTTTCATCTTTTTTTAAAAAAATAAAAACATACTAGTAATCATTTAGTATGTGCAAGTTTATATCTTGCTTTTTTTCTTCACCGCTTATTCACCATTATATAATTAACTTAATTATCTTTTTAATGGTAACATATTATTGGGTGGATGTAATGTCATTTTATATAATTTTCTTTTTAAAGTTTTTTATAGTTTTCTAATTTTTTGCAGTTAAAAAGGGACATTTAAAATTCTTTGTGTGAAAACTTTGCTTTTTAAATTACTTCCTTAGGATGGAATCTCTAAAATTCAAGTATTAGGTTAAAGAACATAAACATTTAAAAATTAGTAATTATGCTGTAAAATTATTTCAGTTTATACTAATTAGCAATATATGTTGGGGCCTAATTTTCTGCAAACTTTCTGGCATTGGGTGATCATCCTGTAAATCAAAACAGCAATGCAATAAATTTCTGCTATTGATTTTGTTAGAAAATTTCTCATTAAAAATATAACTGAAAAAAAAAAATATAACTGAAAATTAATAAGGATTAATTTCTGTATATTAATTAATTAGTTTATTACTTTTTGGTGAAGTATCTCATCATATCCTCTGTTTATACCTTTTTAAGTGATCCCAGATTCTAATCATTGGCTTCAAACACCATGTGATTGGGAGAGTGGAATAACAAAGGGGAGAAAGTAGAGTACAACAAAGTTTAGAATTGTGAGGGGAATAGCTCATGAATTTATGAAAATCTGCTGTGGTAAAGAGCTGAAAACTAGATGTTTCACAGCTAAATAGTTATTAACATAGTGATGATACCAGGTCCTAAATCTTTAACAGCTATTCTATGTAAGAATGAGAATAATGGAAACAAACAATTAAGTCACCTTTTCATTTTATTTGCTACTACCTGTATTTTCCATTTGCATTTATACATATGAAATTATAGAGAAGATTCAGAACTATTTAACATCAAATTATTACAAAAGTGAAAAAATTTAATAAACGATTATTATTATTATTATTTTTGAAATGGAGTTTTGCTATTGTTACCCAGACTGGAGTGCAATGGCACGATCTCGGCTCACTGCAACCTCCGCCTTCTGGGTTCAAGCAATTCTCCTGCCTTAGCCTCCCGAGTAGCTGGGACTACAAGCGCACACCACCATGCCCAGCTAATTTTTGTATTTTTAGTAGAGACGGGGTTTCACCTTGTTGACCAGGATGGTCTCGATCTCTTGACCTCGTGATCCACCCACCTCGGCCTCCCAAAGTGCTGGGATTATAGGCGTGAGCCACCGTGCCTGGCCTATTATTCTTTTTAATATTTACAAATTCTTTAATAGAGATGAGGTCTCACTATGTTGCCCAAGGTGGTCTCAAACTTCTGAGGTCAAGCAATTCTTCCACCTTGACCTCCTAAAGTGCTGGAATTACAGGCATGAGCCACTGTGCCTAACCTTTAGTAAACTTTTAAAAAGTAGAGAGATTTCTGATTACTACGAAGGTTTTAGTATTTCTTGGCTTAAAATTGCATGACTTTCTAAAAATTTGAATAATGGATTTGACAACAAGTAGTTAAAAAAAGCTATAATGGTTTAGTCTGCAGCCAAAAGTAGATATAATATGTTACATTGTTTCTGAGCCCTAGTTATAACATTTAGATTTCCAGTTTTTATAGTCTAGGGTGGCCAGTTATTCCAAGATTATCAAACAAGGTATCAGGCAAGATAAATTTTAATTTATATGCATTTAAAAAGAAACAAAGTTAATGTGTCCCAATCTTAAAGAGACAGTTATCAAGAAAATATTTAATTCACACTGCTAGTGGAGCATTTGCCAAATTATGTATTACCTTGTCTCTACACACCTTGAGAACAGAAATTACATATCATCATTATTATTTTTTAATATATTACTTGTGCCTAGTACAATCTGGCATATTTTATAAAAGCTTATTAATATTATTTAAAGCCTGGTATGGGTATGTCTGGGTAGAATAGGAATATTGAAGATAATTTCTTGTTTGAATTTGATTTCTGTGTTGAGGCATTTTTTAGAAAAAAAAGCTAAATGTTTTCAAACCATGCTCTGTGGACACTAGTTCTGTGAGAAGCTATGGTCTAATGAATTTGGGTAGAGCTAGATATTACATAAAACTTTTATATATATTATATAAAACCTCTTAGCTGGTTTTAATTTAGGTTGGGATGTTAAAAACTTGAGAAGTTTTACAGTAGAGAAACCCATTTTGTGTTACTTCCAGCCATAGAGCAGGCTAGATACCCTAGGGGCTTCTTTTACTTCAAACCAACTAGAGCCTAGGTTTAAAAATATACTGTTGATGGGCTGGGCACAGTAGCTCACGCCTGTAATCCCAGCACTTTGGGAGGCTGAGGCAGGTGGATCACGAGGTCAAGAGATCAAGACCATCCTGCCCGACATGGTGAAACCCCCTCTCTATTAAAAATACAAAAATTAGCTGCACGTGGTGGCACACGCCTGTAGTCTCAGCTACTGAGGAGGTTGAGGCAGGAGAATAACTTGAACCAGGGAGTCAGAGGTTGCAGTGAGCTGAGATCGTGCCACTGCACTCCAGCCTGGTGACAGAGTGAGACTCTGTCTCAAAAAAAAGAGTAGCAGCATTGAAGTTCTGAAAGTAAGTTTGAACCTAGAATTGTATACTTGGGATTAAAATTTCTTTGTCTTTGAAATGTAATATAGGACATTCTCAGATATATAAAAATGATGAGGGTTTACTACAACATAGACTTAACACTAAGGGAATTCTAAAGGGTAAATATCAGGAATGAGGGAAATGTTCAGAAAAAATTATCTGAAATATAACAAGCAATGGTTTAAGAAAATAGTAAACATGTATATAAATCTAAACAATGTTTGTATAAAATAATACTATCTTTTGCACTTAGTGGAAAGACAGAACTAAAGAACTGGCTAATAATAGCATGTAAGTCAGAAGGAAATGATGACAAAGTGTTCTAATATACTCTATATTCTCTGTGTTTCTCTAAAACTTAAAGATGTATAGTAAAACTTCAAGAATAAGGATTGAAAAAATAGAATTAGGATGTATGAATTTCAACCAGAAGTATAAAAAAATTAAGCCCAAACCAAACTCATCTAATACCAAATGTGTATATTTATACACACATGCATACACATGCATGTACCCATACACGTATATATGACATACATACACACACAGACATATGTCCATGTAAAAAGCTGTTTAACATATACATACATGAAAAAGCTATATATATGTGGCAGGGATAGAAATTAAAAAGTGAGACGGTAGAAGCATTTATAATCAAAATAAATGCAGGTAGCTTAAACTTGTGAGCTAAACACAGATTTTCAAATTGCTCTTAAAAAGAACTTTCTGCTGCTTAAAAAGACATATTCAAAATAAAAGGACATGGAAAGGTTTTAATAAGAAGTGAAAAAAGATTCACCAGATAAATACTAAAGAAAGTTGAGCCATATTAGTATAAGACAAAATAGATTTTAAGGCAAAAGCATTTTCAGGGATACAGAAAGTCACTTTCTAATGACAAAAAGTTCAGATCACTAAGATTTTAAACTTATAGGCATCTAGTAAAGTAGCCTTAAAATTATAAAGCAAAAATATAACTACAAGGAGAAATTGGCAAATTCTCACTCATAGTGGGAGAATTGTATACTGCTCTCAATTAATGGTAGGATAAGCAAATTAAACTAGTAAACATATAGTAGACCATTAACATGCTTGATTCTACAAGATTATAGCTCAAAAATTTAGAAAATACACTTCAAAATCGGGAATATGTTTTTTGAAGCACACATGGAGCTTTTTAATTTTTAACATGTATTACACCATTAAGCAAGTTCCAACAATATCAGAGAGTTCATGTTATTCTTTCTTTAAGGTAAGTTACTTCCTATCAAACTTAACCTGATAAAAATTCTAGGAGCCTACAGTAAATGTTCTTAATGGTGAAATGTCAGACATATTTTTATTAAAATCAGTAAAAAGACAAGGATGTTCAATACTGCTCCTTCTATTCAACTTTGTATTAGACATTCTAGTTGAAAAAGATAATTTAAAGATAAAAGGATTAGAAAGAAATAAACTTAGGAGTTCATATGATACAATTCTCTATGTGGAAAATCTCATAGGATTTATAGAAAAGTTACTAGGAATATTAAAGATTTTAACAAGGTAGCTGATTATAACATGCACATACAAAAATTGTGATACCTCAACAAAGCTTTTAAAAATTAATGCATATCTACATGGCAACAATGTGGAGTTCTAAAGGCTTTTAAAATATACCATGTGCAATGGGTAATAACAACAACTATATGTTAATAGGAATAAACAGCAAATGTGGAAGATCTGTATGCAGAAAAGCTGTAAAAATTTATTAGAAGACAGTTTCAAATGACATAATTAGATGGAATATAATATACCGTTTCCTTGGATGGAAAGACTCAGTATTTTGAAGATATTAGTCCCAAAGTGATCTGTAGGTTCAGTGTAATTCCAGTAAAATCTTAACAGAATTTGTTGTGGAAATTTACTAAATAATTTTAAGTTTTCTTATAGAGGGGCAGCAGACCAAGAATAACCACAACAAATCTAAAGAACAAAGTGGAAAGGATTTGTTCTACAATATCAAGATTTAATTTTACTCTATAGTAATTAAAACAGTAGGGTATTGGTGTAGAGTTAAACGAAGAAACCAATGAAATAGAATGTAGAGCTCTAAAATAGAAACATGCATGTAAAATGACTTTAAAAGTAACAGAAATGCCATTGAAGATCACTGGGGAAAGGAAGGTCTATTCAATTTATGGTGCTAATGCAATTTGCACATGGAAAAAATTGAAATTGGATTCTTACCTCACACCATTGAGTGAAATCATTTCTAGATGGATGAGTTTAAACTTAAATATGAAAGTAAAAATTTTGAAACCTTTAGAAATAGAAATAAAATGTAGGCGAATATCTTTATTATCTCAAGATAGGAAAACATCTCTCACATAAGAAACAAAAAGTGCTAACAATAAAATAAAAGATAAATTCACATACCTTAAGATAAAGAGTATCTGTTCACCGAAAGATGCTTTAAAGAAAAAAGTTAAACTATAAAATGAGAGAAGATATTTACATTTTTTTCAAGAAATATCAGAAACTGCAAATTAATGAAAAAGATAACCCAGTAGACAAAAGGTAGGTGTCAGGGAGCATGGCCAGGCATTTTACTGAAGTGGAAGTGAGACTTATTTATACCTATAATAATGACAGAAATTAAATCTGATAATGGCAAGAAATATGAAAACAGACCAGATACATTAGGCTGTGTACCAGTAGATGCCTTAGAAACTGTTAGTGAGAGTGTAAATTCTTACAGACACTCCAGAAAATAATTGCATTATTATTTGAGGGTGAACATTTTTATTGCCTATGGATCTATGAAATAATTAGGGAAGTTCTTACTCTTTTGTTGAGAGGCATGTCCAAGAAGATAACCATTAGTGCTGTTTACAATCAGATAGTGATATATTGTGTTAAGTGATCTGTACTCTAAAAAAAGTAACTATGATAATTGATATCAATAAAAATTGTATTGATAAAATAAAGTGATATATACAAGTTTTTAAAGGCTAGGGAATGTTCTAGATTTTGAGACTAAGATGTGACAACTAAATCTAATGCTTGATTTTAATTGGATTGTAGGTTAAAATATAAGAGCTGTAGAAAGTATATTCTTGGGAAATTGGAAAAAATTGAATATGGACTGTATATAAAATGAGATAATATTTTATCAATGCCAAATTTTGTATGTAAGAATGTTCTTAGGGATTATGTACTTAAAGAGATATATGTCTAAGTATTTAAGGGTGAAATGTTAATGATTTCTGTAATGTACTTTCACATAGTTCAGCAAAAGAGAAAAACTATAGAGTATGTACATGCAGAGGGAGAAAGGCGGAGCTGATGCAGGAAATGTTAATTGGTAAAGGGTTTTGGGTGTTTATTTAATTCTGTCAGCTTTGCTGTAAGATTGAAAATTTTTTAAATTAAAAATTGGAGAGAAAGCCAACAACACTAAACAATATGTCATTTAAAGATGCATATTTTTGTGACAAAAACTATACAAAGGTTTTAAAAGCAAAGCATAAACACAAAATCAGGAGAGTGGTTTACTTTGGGTGAAGCAGGGAGTTAAGATAGGGAGAGGACCACATAGGTGGTTCATTGTGTTGGCAATGCTCTGATTTGTAATGGATTCATGTGTTTACTATTTCTGCTGTGCTTTGTGATTTTCATATATGTGACTTTTATATATATCAAATGTTATATTAAAAAAGGAAAAAGAAGAAGTATATCAACTTGCATTAACTGCGCTATGCGAAGTAAGACAAAGTTGATGACGTTTCTCTGAGGACAAATTTTTAGAAGGTTGAGGACAGGGTAGAAGGAGGAAAACACCTCTGTGATTTTGTTTGACCCAGTAAATTCCAAATTTATTCGATCAAAGAAACTTACCTTAAAGTTACATCGAATTGATAGTCTCAAGACTCCTTTTGGAAAGTGAAGTTTTATGGAGCACCAACAATAATCTAAAAAGTTAACCTGTTGGTAGAACAAATTTTATTGCATGGAGATTTCAGTATAAATACCATTTGTCTGTTTAAGTTAATGAAAACATTTCAACCTTGATTTTAGCAACAGAATTAGCTTCCTATTGACCACCCTTACCCCTTCCCCACCCAGATTTTTAATTCTGAAAGAAATGCCATTCTTGATATGGAACATTTGGTTACAAGAAGTTGTAGTGTTCACGTTTCAATTTTTCCTACAAATGGACTATTTATATACTGTTTTCAAAGTGAAACTTACAATAACCTAGAATCATGTACATCCATTCCTGTCATTCAGGGCCTGTGCTAGTACACTGGGGAGTGTGGACTGGATGTTGCTGCAGCAACAAAACACTCTAACTTCTTAACAAAACAGAAGTTCTTCCTTAGCTTTGCATCACCTAGGTTTGCTGACGAGGCTTTACTCCACACAGTCATTTAGCAGTTCCTGCTACTTGAATTTTTACTGTCTTCTTGAGTACTGTGGAACATTCAGTTTTGTTAATCTGTTAAGTTAGAGACTAAAGAATTGCCTTGGGAAATTCAGCCTGGAAGTGATGTATGTTCACATTGCATTAGCTAAAACTAGCCATGTGGTTCTGCCTAAATAGAAGGGACTCAGGAAATGTAGGGAAGAAATCCTCTTCTGAGATAAATAGTAATACTAGGGCTGGGCACAGTGGCTCATACCTGTAATCCCAGCACTTTGGGAGGCTGAGGTGGGTGAATCACTTGAGCCTAGGAGATTGAGACCAACTGGGCAAAATGGCAAAACCCCATCGCTACAAAAAATATTTTTAAAAAATTCTCCAGGCATGGTGGTGTGAGCCTGTAGTCCTAGTTACTTGGGAGGCAGAGGTTGCAATGAGTCGAGATCGCACCATTGTACTCCAGCCTGGGCAACAGATTGAGACTCTTGTCTTAAAAAAACAAAAAACAAAACAAACTAAAAATAGTAATATGACTAAGTTGGAATCCTGGCAATCTTGGCATAAAGGTAATTTGTATAGGCATGTTTATGTGTCTGCTTCTTTGCTGTTGAAATTTTATCTTTGAACTGTATCTTAGATGTTGAAAATCACATGTAGACAATTTAACTGGTGTCATTTTATTTTTTTATATTCTATGTTGGTTTTTCCCTTTTGTATGTATAGATAATTGAGATTTGGTACATAACAGTAAATCAACAAAGACATGCATAAAAAATCAACAAAAGCAGTTAAATGGGGCATTATTTATGTAAATTTTAATTTATACATTAATGTTCCTCTGTCTCCTTTTATGGCAGCATGAAAACATTCCTTTTGAAGACAAGATTGCATCAGTTAAAGTGGTAAGTTCATATAATAGTAAGCTAGATGTTACAACATCGAAGCTATATTCATTGGTTAATTGAACATACTAAGTATATTCCAATGTATTCTTGAGAGTAGGTAAGAATATTAGGATAGTGGAATAAAAGTTTGTGAGTTGTTTTATGTAATGGTCTCAAAATTTTATTAGGAAAGAATAATCTTGCACATTAATTTGAAACCCGTATGTGTTCTGGATTAATCCATAAAAGAATATATGAGAATCCTCTGAATTCCCAATCAGTGGGAGTTCAGTGGGGATTAAGACAAAAATGGCCTCGATTTAGTGAAGATTCCAAGTCTTCCTAGTTGTCTACATGCAATCACAAGTGAGACAAGGATGGCAGAAAAGAAAAAGAGAGGCAATAGGAATGTACAGAGCAAGGAATTGAAAGTCATTTTCCTCCCTGCAGAAGGGGTGTTTTAAGTGAGGCTTCAAAGATAAGAAAGAGTTGGATAGGCTCAGTGGAAGAGTTTGTGAGCATTATGGACAGAAGGAATAGTATGTGCAAAGTCCTAGAGAAAAAGGAGAGCATAGTGCATTCCAGGAGCTGATTGAGAACCAAAAGGTAGAGCAAGGGTACAAGTGGCAGAAGAAAAGGCGACAAGGACAGGTGGAGATCTTGCACCTTCTTAGCAAATTACAAGATTTTAGATTTTATTCTCAGGGCAGTAGAAAGTCTCTGAATACTTAAGCAGGGGTGTGGCAAGATCACATTTAACTTTTTTAAAGATTGCTCTGGCTAAAATGTGGACAGTATGTCAGAGGAAGACAAAAGTAGATTCAAGGAAAACTATTGTATGACTCTTGCCAAATTAAGGAAGGAATTGAAGATGTGTTGGACAAGGTAATATTTTACTTTTAAGTACTCTGTAAGAGAATGAATGGTGGAATTAAGAGTTTCTTTGGCTTTTTCTTTTCTTCTGACATTTCTCTTTTAGGATTTTCTGTGGCATCCTGAAGTTAACGGTTCTATGAAACAGTGTATCAAAGTGTGGACTGAGGTCTGTATTTAAAAAGATAGGCTTTTATTTTTTTTCTTAAGCAACCAAATTTTAAAAGCCCACAAGCATATTTTTCTTCCCCTTACTCACCTGTCCCACTCTGATATTTTATACCTACCTTCTTGTTAGCAACTAAACTAAACTGGGCTGGACTGATTTTAGCACTTTAAAGAGAAGGGAATGTGTTGATCCAACATCTCTGCCACTTATCACTGATCTATCCATAAGGCAGATTATGCTTATACCAGACTTTTCAGACTTAAAGTCTTCTGTTAACTGCTGTATTTCAGCTAATTCAAACCCAGGTAGTCTTCCCAACACAATGTGCATTCTCTTGAGCATTTTTCTGTTTTTTTTCCTAACTCATGCCCAGATACTTGAGGAAGCTTTTGTTTATTTGTTTTTATAGCCTTTTCTCCCTTTTATTATTACATTTGTGACCCAGCAGACAGGACTAATATGCTTTAGCTCATCATGTTTGGAGATACATTAGATGTAAAGGCAACCATGATATTAACCTCAGAAAACTCCTAAGTTCTCACAAGTCCATTTTACAATCCCTGTAATAGTTTCTGTACAACTTTTTGTCAGTCCTTTAATTAAACCTATATTCTTTCCCAGAGACATTTGTCTTTGAGACAGATAAATAATAATTAATTTTATTGACCTTGTTTTGCTTAATTAATTGCTGTGCAACTGTTTTTTGGTTTGGGATTTTTTTGTTTCCTTCACAATAAATGTTTAGTATCACAACCACATCAGTCAATAAATAGGCTTTTGTAGGATCCCATGGGAACCTAGCTAGCATCTCTAATCTTGTTTCTTTGAGCGAATGTTTTCAAAAAACAAATATGTAGACAACTTCTAGAATTCAGTTTTCTGGTGAATTGAGGTGTACACCATGTTTTGTTTTTATTGATACATTTTTAAATGTCCAGAAGTGTAGAATAATGTTCTGTGTACATTTGAAATGATTTTAGCATATGTTTCATATTTGCGCTGGACTGAAAATATATTTATTAAAGTGTAGAAATTCCCAGTTAAGTGAACATTAATACACTACAATTTGTAAGTCCTGCAAGATCACAGAAAACCTTTATAGGTTATTTACTAACCTGGAGATATGTTACATATCCAAAATTTCAATTTCATAAATGTTAAAGCTAGTTTTTGGAGCCTTAGATTCTGTTGTAAAATTTATTATGGTTGTTGAGAACAAGAAAATATTCAATTTATTTAGGTAGATGACCACATAATCACCTGAGATTGATTAGCTGATGGATTTCATTCACTCAAGGAATATGTGTGTATGTATTTATTTTTTACTATTTCTGAAGCAAGCAGCTAGAAGCTGAGGACTTGGAGACCCACATTTTTATTGTTTATGTGCTATTGCCAGCTTTGTGCTGAGTAATAGGAATGTGGCTGGGAATTAACTTCAGTCTCAGCCCTCAAGGAATTTGCAATCTAGTAGATGGTGACTTACTGATGAGAAACAACATAGAACAGCAAAGGCTAACACAGAATTGAGCTCAAAGGACTATGAAAGCACCATGGATAGAGGCATATAGGATGGGAGGTGGTGAGAGTATTGCTAATGATCTAAGAAAATTTTATAGAGGAGATAATATTTGAGAACTATGAATTAGGAGCAAGATATGCTTATTAACTGGAATGGTCTTATAGAAGCCTATAGGCATAAAAGCAAAGTTGAATTGAAAGGACTCTAAGCAGGTATTCCACAGATATTTCCATATTCTAGGCACTAAACTAGACACTGTTGAAACACTGATTAACAGTATAGAGTTCCTCCCCTCAAAGAGCTTCTAAATGAATTACACACATTGACACTTAAGCAACTGCTATAAAATAAAAAATATATAGGGCACCACAAACAGGATTGCAGAGGATAGGCCCTAAGTGTAATTTTTTCAAGTTTTCAAAATTAGTTTTTAGATAAAGTGGTCTTGAAGGTGAGTGTGGGGAACGAGAAATGGGATTATTCCCTGCAAAGGAAACAGCAGTGCAATGATAGTGAAGATGGAGTATAGCCTATGCAGGGAATCTCTGGCTGGAGCTAGAACATAAAATGCTTCTTTACGTGTGTTGGTTTTGGTTGTTCTTTTCATGTGCTTTATTTTGGAAGGAGTTGATAAGAGATGAGGAAGCAGATACTATATTATGAATGATATCCTAACCCATATTGGGGGAGTGGATTTATTTTGTCTATCCATTTTTTAACTAATTCTAAACACTTCAGGGTGTTTCTGAAAATCAGTACATTGAATTGAATGTATTGAGGGTAGTGGAGAACCATTGAAAGTTTTAAACAGGTGAATGGTGTGATATATTGGAGGAGTGGAAGGAAATTAGGCTAACTTGTAAAGAAACTGGCAATTTAGATGTATTTCTGTAAGTGAATGGAAGTCATTAAGTCTGAACTATGTGGATGGATTTGGGGAGTCTGTATGGATTGAGGTGATATTTAAGTTATTTGAATGGAAGAAATGGAATAGACAGAATTTAGAGACTAAAGAGGAGAAACCTTGTGAAGAATGAAGAATGGAATTATCAAGGAGATTCTGAGAAGTGGCAGTAAAAGGAGTAGGAAGAAAAGCAAGGGAGGAAGGGAGGAAGGACTGTAAAATCACATATGGGAGAGGTAAGGATTTTATAAGACAGGGAGTTACCAGTGTCATTTTCAAAACTTGCTAAGGTAGAATGAAGCTACAGCATTTGGCCATCCAGAGTTCATTAATGGACTCTCAGGACAGTGTTAATGGATAGTGAAACCCAAATTCAAAACATAAGTCGAGGCATAAATGAGAGAAAGAAATTGGCATAGTGAGGGCAGAATACTATTTCAAGTAATCTGTTGGTTACAGATGTGAGGTGAGACAGGGTTGAAGGAAAACTTTTTCAGGATAAGTTTAATTTAACACTTTTAGGTTGAGGGAAGGAAAGAGAGTGGAAGAGGACAAGACTGATACTATGAGAGCTGGAGAACATAATTCATAATTTATAGCCCCAGAAGTGAAAAGGGAGGGAATGTAGACAGAGGAAGGCATTAGCCATTGAGAAGAACAGGGACATGTTTTCTTTACTTTCTTGTCAGAGGAAGATAGCTGGGGGAGTACAGATAAGTTGTAAGAATGGAGGAAGGAAGGCAAGAGGACACATGTCGGATGAATTTTATTTTCTCTGTGAAGTTTGAGAATTATGCTGAGAAGGGCAAGAGAGACTGTATAAGGAATATAAGTTTTGGGGTAACCAATAGAAGTTTTGGGAATAAGAAAGCCACCTAGGGATGAGGAAAACATTTTTTTTCACTAAAAATTCTTTAACAATTTAAAACGAAGCATGCTAGACTGGAAGTAGTCATATATCTAAAAGAAAATGGGTGTATTTTGTTATTTTTCTCTATTTTCATAATATTTTACACTAAGCATATATTACCTTTATAATGAAAAAGTAACTCATTTTTGTACATGGGTCAGTTTTTTGTTATTAAATTTTGTTTTGTTTCTTTGTTAATGATTGCAATATCAGGTCTTTGATGTGATGATAAGTGTACTGAATTCAAAAGTCAGAAGACTTAAACTCTCACTTACCTGGCAGGCCTCAGCAATACCCTCTTAGCCATTCTGAGTCTGTATCATTGTTTTATAAGAGATGTATAATATCATCTTGCTTACCCCACAGGGTGGCAGGAATCTATATTACAATGACATAATTTAAGAGAAAGTACTAAGTTGCTAAGTACTATATACATGTTATACTATATATAATATATAGTTAGCTACATAAATAATTGTATTATAATATATTACTGCTATATATTATACATAGTATACAGTAGTCCCCCTTTATCCATGGTTAATATGTTCCAAGACCCCAGCGTATGCCTGAAACAATAGGTGGTACTGAATGCTATGTGTACTGTTTTTCCTATACATAAAAATGTATGATAAAGTTTAATGTATAAATTAGGCACAGTAAGAGATTAACAGCAATGACTAATAATAAAATAGAACAATTATCACAGTATCTCAGCATCACTATTTTTGAGCTTTGGGGTCACTATTGAGTAAAATAGTGGTTACTTTAACACAAGGATTGTGATGCTGTGACAGTTGGTCTGATGAGTGGCTACCAAGTGACTAATGGCCAGGTAGCATATACAGCATGATACCTTGAACAAAGAGAGGATTCACATCCCAGGACGGATAGAGTGGGATAGCATGAGATTTTATCATGTTACTTAGAATGGCACATAATTGAAAACTTAGAAATTATTTATTTTTTGGAAGTTTCTATTGAATATTTTTGGAACTGAATTGACCATGGGTAACTGAAACAGTGGAAACTGAATACATATGTAAGTGGGGGAAACTAATTTGCATTTGGTGGAGATTTTTAGGGATTTCTGCTTGTATTTTTCCACATGGTCTTTAATAGTTACCAGTTTATTTTATTAAATATGCATTGGATTTAGCTTTCCCAGAAGATTGTTTTGGCACTGACCTTGTATTTTATTTAACACTTAAATTACGTACCCTGTAGGCTTCCATGATTACCTTTTAATTGACTGACATAATACACTAGAGCTTTACTCTAAGCATTTTACTCAGAGTTCAGAACAATATTAGGTCATGTTAGATTTCAGTGGTACTTTTTTTTTTTTTAAGAACACCAAAGAATTAACTATCCAAATTTCTGTCATCTTGTATGAATATGTAGCCTTACAAGATTTTAGGCATTGGATATCTGTCTTGTTAATACCAATAATAAGCAATAATAGTAATAAGGAATTCTAGAAACTTCTAATACATTTAGAAGGAAGAACTTACATTTTAAGGAAAAAATTAAACAATGTTACTTGTATTGATTCTCTGAACTGGATATAATACTATGATAAAGATTTTTCTTCCTTTAGGATTCCATTGCAAAACCCCATGTGATTGTAGCAGGAGCTGCCACAGTAAGTTATTGTCTGTATTTTTACTTAATAATTTTGTTTCACATTTAAGAACATGCTAAGAAAAAGTTAATTTGTGTTCAGAATTCATGCTTGTACCTACATTTTTAATTCCTACTTCTATTTTGATTAGATTGATGAATTTTAATAAAAACACTGGAATGAACTTAGGAAACTTAGTGTTAAATATAAGTGTTTTTATATCTAAAATTGTGTTCTTCTTGAATATTATACATACAAAGTGTAATTTGTAACAGGTTTTTCTAATTGCCTTCATATATTTCATGAAATAATTTGACTGAAGTTTATTCTAATATTAGATGAGAAATATCTAAAATCATAACCCTTCTTACAATAGGTAAATTGTATACTTTAATTGTGATAAACACTAAATTAATGCATAATTTGTGCTTCTTTTTAGTGGTCCATCAAGATTCACAATGGTAGCAGTGAAGCACTTTCTCAGTATAAAATGAACATTACCTCCATAGCACCACTTTTAGAAAAATTAGCAAAGACTAGTGATGTTTATTGGGTCTTACAAGGTAAGGAATGAGTAATGAAAAATGTCATTTTGTGTATATTTTGAAGCATGGGTTTTTGTTATCTACTGTTTCAAGAAGCAGAATTATTGCTTTATGAGACTTAATTTTGAAATAAGATTTGCAAGATGAGTACACTTATTTTCTCTCGTTTTTCAAATGTAAGAAACAAATTAATAAATATAAGTAAAAATAAAAAATATCATCCAAGGAACCTCATCAGAATGGCTATAAGAATGTATAACACAAAGGTAAGTCCTAAAGGCGAATGAGATGTGACATCTCTGAATTTTTATTTCTCACAAAACATATATTGTGATAGGGAAATATATAGAAAAAAATATTATCTATTTCATAATTTTTTCTTTTGAGACAGGGTCTCACTCTCTTTCCCAGGTTGGAGTACAGTGGCACAATCTTGGCTCACTGCAACCTCCGCCCCTCAGGCTCAAGCAATCCTCCCGCCTCAGCCTCCCGAGTAGCTGGGACTACAGGTGTGCACCACCATACCCAGCTAATTTTTTGTATGTTTGGTAGAGATGGGGTTTTGCCCTGTTTCATAATATTAAAGTCATTAGAAGTAAATATCCTTCACCCTGCTTTATAATATGAAAATCATTAGAAATAAATATACTTTTTTTTTTTAGCAAGCAATGGGTTTCTGAAAAAAATAAATAAAATATACTTTTGAATTGACAGAATATAATAAGTTTAAATTTACACCATCTAGTTTATGCTTGGTAATGAAATTCTTAGTAGACATTAGGTTAACTCATTTTAGGAATTTGTTAAATGTCCACTATTTAATGCCTAGCACAATATGAAATGCCTTGGATATTTTAGCAATTCATGTTTTTTGTCAGAAATTCTTACTATTTCCAAGTTGAATGTCAAGATGAAAGGAATAAGAAAAGGGGTAGTGATGATTTGTTCCATAATCTCCATTTTATTCACAGACTCATTGCTAACCTTTCTCATACTAAAACGAGGAAAAATTAAAGTTGTTTATAAGAAGTGATAAAAGAATAGACAGATCTTGATCCTCAGTAATATTACTTTCTAGTCATATGAACAAAGTTTACAGAATTAAGCAGCTACAAGAGAAAAAAAAAAGATGGGCAGCTCTTTTTAATTAAGTAATCTTATAAATCATTTTAGATTTCTTGTTACCCAGTATAACCCAGCATCCAAAAGTGTTAAACTCTTAAGACATGCTGGAGCGTAACAATATTTCCCCAAATCTGTGTACATAGAGATGGGACAAAAATTCTTTAAATTTGTGAGGGATATTGTTTGACTCAAACTTGACTATAAGATGGGAAATGTATTGCAAACTTTGGGAAGCTTTATGTAAAAATGAACTATTAGGTACCTGATATCAACTGTACTTTTAAAAACAACATATGAATGTTGTACAGCTAACTTGCATGATCACAATTTTTACCAATAAGGATGTTTGAAATGTGTTTTTTAAAAATATGTCTCACATGCAGATCCTGTTTATGAAGATCTATTAAGTGAAAATAGGAAGATGATCACTAATGAGAAGATAGATGCTTACAATGAGGCTGCAGTCAGTATTTTGAATAGTAGCACCAGAAATTCTAAATCAAATGTTAAGATGTTCAGTGTTTCCAAATTAATTGCTCAAGAAACCATCATGGAATCTTTGGATGGCTTACATCTTCCTGAATCAAGCAGAGAAACTGTAAGAAATTTTTATATATGTCAGTAGATGGAGAATATAATACCAATTGCTTATAGCCATAAGTCATTATAACATGTTTATAATTTATTTTATTGTAGTGTTAGTAACTTGTAGTTATTCTGTATAAAGATAAATCTAGAAATAAATTTTGCTTTCTGTCATCTAGCTGAATATATACGGAAGACTTTTGCAATACTCTAAGAGAGAAAGAAGTTAGGGAAGAGAGAAAGTTAAACTTCATTTACTCAGTGCTAATCACTGTTATGTACATTGTCTCCTAAGAAGCATATATGTTCTCAGCACACTCACATTTAAAAGCTACTGCCTTTATGTTCTCCTTACCTTAAACCTTAAGCTTACAAGATTAAGCTTCAATGAAGAGTACATTTTTTAATACATAAAATAATTTTTATTATTTCCCTATAGCTCTTCTGGCTGGGCATGGTGGTTCACACCTGTAATCCCAGCACTTTGGGAGGCCGAGGCGGATCACTTGAGGTCAGAAGTTCGAGACTACCCTGGCCAACATGGGGAAACCCCATCTCCACTAAAAAGGCAAAAATTAGCTGAGTGTGGTGGCACATGCTTGTAATCCCAGATACTAGGGAGGCTGAGGCAGGAGAATTGCTTGAACCTGGGAGGCAGAGGTTGCAGCGAGCCAAGATCCTGCCACTGCACTCCAGCCTGGGTGACAGAGGGAGACTCAGTCTCAAAAAAAAAGAAAAGAAAAAAAAATTCTTCTAGCCTTTCTATCCTAAGCATTATTCAAGATATACAAGTACATACTGAACAAATCCAAGTTAACCCATGGAAAGGGATTTTGGTTAAGTATGAAAGAAAACTACATAACTATACATTTTCACAAACAGTGGAACAAATTAAAGTTTTTTCTTTTATAAAGCAGTGTGATTCTTAACCTTTTTGAGAGTTACATAAGCCCTTTGAGTATCTGATAAAAGACAATGGTTTTGTTCTTCTCCTGCAGAATATTGTGTATATTTGCATATACATATGGTTTTCCATATATGTAAAAGGATGCCCTAAAAGCTAGTTGAGAACCTTGCAATGGAATTTGCAGACTAATGTCTGCAAGAGTGCAGGCATAAAATCACCTGCAGTGTCAGGGATAAAAGGATGAGATTTCCTCAACACTTGATTATTTTGAATGCTTAGGCTTAAATGACGTCATCACCTGGAGTTCCACAGATGCCTAAACTATGAAGTTTTTACAAAACTAGAGTTTGAACCTTCAACTAGACAGACTCTTGACAAGTTTCCCAGAACAATTTTATATAATCAAACCATGTTGAAAGTTCTAAGTTTTATTTAACATTATATATCTTAAAACTGTAGAATCCTAAATGGCCTATAAGCTGTAATCCAAATGAAAGACATATTATAAATATTGCTAGCTAAAAACTAATAATTTTTTAGTGGCAGTTATTTTATGTTTGTTTTTTTTATTTTCACATTTAAGCAGTAGACTTTATCTTAAGTGTTCTAGCATCTTCTGTTTTGAAAGTCTGCTGATTAAAATTCTTTGGTCCTTGATGTCTGTCAGCATTTTTTTAACCAAAGGTCACAACCCATAATAACAACCATGAAATCAGTGTTGGAAAAGAAGGAATAGAAAAGAGCAATCTCAGAGTGCATTCCAAGTAGTAAGGATAGGTTTTTGTCCTGGGTCACATTATAAAATGTATTTTGTAGTTTGGTTCATAGCCCCAGAAGTTTGAAACACTCTGAACTAGCTATTACAGATGGAATTTGCATGATTTCGGAAATAGTAACAAAAGACATGAAAGCGTTTTGGTTTCAGTGCTAAAAACTCAGCAGTATTCACAGGAGAAAACTTAATGTGAAATACATCACTGACAAGATAATAACCAAATAACTTGATTTGTTCACAGAGTGCAATGATTCTTATGAATGTGTATTGCAATAAGATTTTGAAGCCTGTAGATGGGTCCTGTTGTCAACCTCGGCCTCCTCTTACTCTCATACAGAAGCTAGCTGCTTGTTTTTTCACTTTATCTATTACCGGATATTTAATTTTTTACATAATTCATCGTAATGCTCAGCGGAAGAATAAGCCATGTACTGATTTGGAAAGCGGAGAGGAAAAGAAAAATATTATCAATACCCCTGTGTCTTCATTAGAAATACTTTTACAGTCTTTCTGCAAACTTGGCCTGATTATGGCATATTTCTATATGTGTGACCGTGCAAATCTGTTCATGAAGGAAAACAAATTTTATACACATTCTTCTTTCTTTATTCCAATTATCTACATTTTGGTTTTGGGAGTATTTTACAATGAAAATACTAAAGAGGTAAGAGTCATTTTCTTTTTAACTCATGTTATCCTTCTTATCTCATTACAAACTCTGCATTAAAGAACTAGTATCATTTATCATGCCAGAATATACAAACATGTATCTGGATGAGGATGAAGGAATATTGTAGTTACACTTCACTTAGTGGACTCTTAACTGTTCTTTTTGGGGAATAGTTTGGAAAAAGGTCAGAATCACATGAAAATTGTTGAAAAGCTGGGAAATATGACCTGTGAAAAAGATTTCATGACTTAATGTTATTTTGCCTGCTTATTGATGGAACTTTCGTTCTGATTTTATAATGGTCTTCAAGCATGAGATACTATTATCTTTTATAAAGTAAAATAATATTAGTAACAAATGCCTATGCACATAAACATGTATTTTTATATTTATCAGTCAGACATATAGGCATATCAATTAGAACTTAATGATGTGGCCACCACTGCTCAAATATTCTGATTTTCCTATTTTAGAATTGCATTCATTGCTCAGAAAATTTGTGTAACTTCTTTACAAGGCATGATTTATTCGAATAACTGAATTCTATTGTAAAACATACCTCTCCTATGAGGATTATTAATTAGTTATTCATCTTTAGTGAGAATATACTGGGGAAAGTAAACTGTAATAATGGAGCTTTTTTCTGTCAATAAAGTGTAGGGTAATTATAAGATCCTTTTAACTGAAATTATAGAGAAAATTATAGAATGCCATTTTTAGATTTATAAATACATCTGTTGTAGTTTAATTTTAGTACATTTAATTTTAATACATTTTCATTTTAATACCAAACCAAGAGGATCCACTTAAATATTAAAAATCTCTTTATTTTTTTTGTATTCATATTATATTTAAAATAGTTTTACTCTGTCTTTTAGCAAGAACTAAAATGACAGTTTATAACTGTTTCTCACCACCATCAGGGTTCTTTTGACAGAAGCATTAGCTTTATATCCCGTAAGAAAACTTTTAATATACTTAATATATACTGTTCAAATAATTTCTTCATAATGAATTTTAAAACAGATTTTGTTCCTTTACACAGACTAAAGTATTAAATAGAGAGCAAACAGATGAATGGAAAGGCTGGATGCAACTTGTGATTTTGATTTATCACATTTCTGGAGCAAGTACAGTAAGTATTTTTAATTTAAGTTCAGAAAGTATAGGAAATAATTTCATTTTAATGTTTCTTTAAGGGCACCAGCTTTTTTGTGTTTTATATTCTCTACCAGTCATCGACCCTTCTTATTTCCCACTCAATCTTCCTGCCTTCCCATTCTTTTCCTAACTCTTTGAGAAAATGTAATTTTAAGAGCAAAGTAATTTAAAAAAAAAAGATAAGGCAATAATTGATTTGTATTTACTTGGACTTAATTTTTAACATATTAGAAGTAGCTGATATCTAAGGGTATTATTGTATACCACCTTATTGAACAGCTAATATAGAGTAACGAAGAAACTTTGAAGAGGCCAGGTGTGGTGGCACACACCTGTAATCCCAGCACTTGGGAGGCTGAGGTGGGTGAATTCCTTGAGGTCAGGAGTTCAAGACCAGCCTAGCCAACATGGTGAAAGCCTGTCTCTACTAGAAATACAAAAATTAGCCAGGCGTGATAGTGCAAGCCTGTAATCCCAGCTACTTGGGAGGCTGAGGCAAGAGAAATGCTTGAACCGCGGGGGCGAAGGTTGCAGTGAGCCAATATTGCACCACTGCACTCCAGCCTGTGTGACAGAGTCAGCCTCTGTCTCAAAAATAACAAAGAAACTTTGAAGGTGATGATGATAAAGGATTTAGAATAGGCAAGTTACCAACAGAAGAAGTCAAATTTGATTATTATAGTTTATATATCCTTCACTGTCTTTTAGGAAGTTTGACTAGCTATTTTTATATTTTTAAAGTTTAAAAAACTTAGAACTCTCTTGCCTCAGTGTTCAAAGAATGCAAATACAGGTGGACTGCTATTGTAGATAACATAGGATATGTCATACTTCCTAAGTGCTAAGTATTATTATCTCCTCTGTGCTGTGAAAGACCCTTCCTTTGGTCATCCAGTGTCTTTTGTACCTGGAAAAAATAGTTTTTTCTTTCTCCATAGGTGTTTTAAGAGACAGGATTATCATGATCTCTGGGCAGTTTGGATATGACAGGGCTAGAAAAAAAATGTGTGTTCTGAGTTGTAACACCCCAGCTGCATTACAGTTAATAAGCTTTTGTGACTGAGCCTAACAGCCACTTTTCATACAAGTTTTTATAGTGAAGATGCAAACTTTCCATAAAATATGTTTTAAAATTTTAAGAAATGTATAATTCAGGAACGATTGAACTGTTTTTTATTGTTTTATTTGCTTATATAAAGCACACATCTGTAAACAGTATGTACATCAATGATAAATTAAAGTAGAAGTGTTGCCCAGAAAGGAGTATTTGAAGATTTTATAGCTGTATTAAGAAGATGAATATCATGGATTACTAGTGTTTTTCAGATATCTCTAACAATTGAAGGATGTCTTTCTTCATTGTCTCTTTATTATTTTCAAAACATGTTTATGATTTTCTGAATTATATGAAGTGTAGAAGGCAGAGAAATTAAGTATAAATTTTACTAATATTATATGGCTATGATAATGTATATTTGTGGCAACAGTGAAATTCCTGCGATGTGGCAGCTAAAGGGAAGCTAGTGAATTTGAGTCATTATGAAAGAGCCAAAATAGTATAAATGATCCAAGCAAGGCAAGGAGAGACAGAGATAGTAAGACATAGTTTATAAGCCCAGCTAAGAATTTGTAGGATAAATCCAGAGATTCTCTAAGGAGCAAGTAGAGATGAAAACTGAATCCTAAGAATATCTCTGCTGTATAGATAAAGACTGAGTAATGGGAATTTGTTTTAATAAAATACCACTTAGAGATATAATTAATTGCTGACATATTAAAGGGTGATACTACTGTTTTAAAAAATCAGGTAGAAATAATTAATAGCAGATTAAGTTCCTCAATTCAGTGATTTCAGAAAGGATTTAGATCATAAAAGGATGAAGGCAATTTAGTATTCAATTATAATCATTTACCAACCTAACATTCTAATATATCTTCTTATACTACATCCTAATATATTCTAATTTACAATTAAAAAAAAATTCTGTTCTAGAAGGACATACTTTTCACTAACAGATCATTTGTAATGATTAATTAACATATCCCTGTTCTTTTATATAGAATGTTGTGGTTAAAAATTTTGCTATATCTACATAGGCAAAACATTATTAGCATAGGTTATCACATATTTGGGGATTTGATTCTTGGCTTTGAGGGCTTACTCATATTAAAAACTTTTTAACTGCCATAATTATTTTAATTACTTAATATTTTTTATTGTGAATAAAATATGTCAAACTTTAGTTGTGTTATATTTTTATGCTAAAAGACAAGAACTGTGTCAAAAATTCTAGAGCATTATTAAAATAATCATTATGGTCTGACAGATACTCATTGTTAGTATAAACATTATTTTAAAGTATAATACATATGAAATATAGAATATGTTGTGAATTTAATACAGAGAGAATAGTAAGTTTGATATATACACTGGATGATTTTGTGTTTCATTGTTGTTTTTGCCCTTGGAGAGTTTGTAGGTAATTTTCATGGAAAGACCTGAATGAGAGGTCATGAGGGAATATATGGGGACTAGAGAAAGAGGAGAACCAGAAGTCAAACTAGCTATTAACTCTAATGTGAAGTTGAAATTCAAAACATATTTTTAAAAGTAGAATTTTCTTGTAAGTAATGCAACAAAATAATAATTGGAGAATTTTGAATATGGATCATACAGTAAATACTGTTATATTTGTATTAAATTTTGTGGGTATGGTAATGATGATGTGGTTGTGTAAGAAACTATCCTTTTTTCCTATGAGATACGTGGTGAAATAGTTTAGGAGTACTGTCATGTGGTCTGCAACATACTTTTAAAAGGTTCATCCTACAGCATATAGGTGTTCATTATACTAGTACAACTTTTCTGTTTGTTTAAAATATCTTAAAATAAAATGTTGGGATAAATATTACATGAAATTTGCAATGGGCCAACATTGGCAGGAACTTGGAAAATTGTTGTTACAGTGTTTAATTTGGTTTAAATGAATTATGTTTACTGTCTAAATGTAATAACCAACCTAACTTTGCAGTGCCAGCCCCAGTCTTTAAGAGAACTTGAACACATGTTTTATGGAGGGTGCATAGAGTAGTTAGGAATGATTAACCAAGTTTGACATCTGGTTTTAAATATTTATAAAGCCATCAGACGTTAAGAGTGAGTTAGCTCTGACAGAGTCTAGAGCTAGACTGTCTGCTGTGGTAACCCCATTAGCTACATGTGGCTATTGAGCACTTTGTAGCTAGTCAGGATTCAGATGTGCCAAAAGTGTGAAATATATACATTAAATATGATTAATTATGATAAATCAGTACTAAATCCAAAAACTTCATATAAAAAAGAAAATATTTTATGTTGAAATAATATTTTGGATATATTGAGTTAAACAAAATATATTTATTGAAATTTATTTCACTTGTTTCTTTTAACTTTTAAAATGCTCTGATAGCCTCATTAAAAAATTATTTATGGCTCACATTTTATTTCTATTGGACAGCACTGCTCTAGAGGGCTGAACATGATAGCTTTTACATATAGTTAGATCTCAACTTTTCATGAAAAGGAACATTATAGCAGTTAATGACCATCTGAAGGTAGAATGGATTGCCTTGGGAATTTGTTTTCTGCCATTAAAAGATGCTTAGACAATCCATGAAGGGGATATTTTAGAGTACATTCAAAAATGAGGTAAGGGGACAGATTTGGATTAGATAAATTCCAAAGTTATTTCAGAACACTTCCTCCCTTCATCTTTGTGATTCTAATATGTTATACTGTCATTGAAAATTTCTGATCTAATAAAAGTAATTTAAAAGAGCTGATGTTAAAGGACAGTAAATAAAAACTCTGTTTGATACATAGATTGTAGGTGTTGTAGGAATTCAGGAAGGAGAAATGACATTCATCTGATAGTAAAGATTGGAATTTTGAACCAGACTCTAAAGAAGAGTAGGATTTGATAAGCAAAATGCATTTAGGGGAGGAACATTCCAGGGCAAGACAAAACAGGTAGATAAAAGAGACTTGACAAAGGAGCACAAGATGGATCAGTTTAGGAGACAGAGAATCTCTAAGTTTGGTTAGAGTGGAGGCTATGTAGAAGAATTTATGATCTAAGTTCATTTTTCTTCCCCCAGAAAAAAATATCTCTCAAAAAAGACACAGATGAATTCAAGGGTGTTTGTAAAAGACTCATACATTCAGGGCTTATAAAATCTATTTAATGTGTCTGTCCAATCAGTTTATTTTATCCTACAAAGTATCACTTGGGAAAGGTACCCTAACCTAAAAAGACCATAAGCAGTGTTAATGCTAGGTAACTGCAGAGGTGATCAGATGAATCCATAAAATAGAAGCCAAAAAATTTTACATAGATCTAGTAATTATACCCTTATAACTGCAGAGATTGCATGTCACTGATCAAGCCTTTTAAATATCACTTTATTTTTGTTAATTTTGTGTGTGTTTGTGTGTGATGGAGTCTCACTCTGTCACCCAAGCTATAGTGCAGTGGCATGAGTTTGGCTCACTGCAGTCTCCCCCTCCTGGATTTAAGCGGTTCTCTTGCCTAAGCATCCCCAGTAGCTGGGATTACAGGTGCAAGCCACCACGCCCGGCTATTTTTTGTATTTTTAGTAGAGGCAAGGTTTTGCCATATTGGTCAGGCTGGTCTTGAACCCCTTGCCTCAGGTGATCCACTTGCATCCGTCTACCAAAGTGTTGGGATTGCAGCCACCACACCTGGCCTTAAAGATCACTTTAAAAAGCATATGGCCAGGTGTAGTGACTCAAACCTATAATCTCAGCACTTTGGGAGGCCAAGGTAGATCACCTGAGGCAAGGAGTTTGAGACCAGCCTGGCCAACATGGCGAAACCCCGTCTCTACTAAAAATACAAAAAATTAGCCAGTTGTTGTGGTGGGCTCCTGTAGTCCCAGCTACTTGACAGGCTAAAGCAGGAGAATCGCTTAAATCTGGGAGGTGGAGGTTGCAGTGAGCCAAGATCACACCACTGCACTCCAGCCTGGGCGACAGAGTGAGACTCTGTCTCAAAGAAAAAAAAAAGGCAGTGTATGAGTTATGCTATGGAAACTGTGAATATACACATAAAGGACCAGCAGGTGGTGAACAGGTGGAATGACAGTGTTCTAAGGTGATGAGAATTAGTACTAGTAAATAACATTTTCAGTGCCTCCTATCATATGTGGGTTCAAATGTATTGTATTTCATTCAACTTAGAAGTAATGATGTGATGCTCTGAAATACCATAATAAATGACCCTAAGGGACTTGGTCATAACAAAGACAGTGATATAGGAGTGTACAACAAAATTGTTTCATAAAATAAGAGTGAGAGGGAAATAATATTCCTAAGTTAGGTTTATACTGGGTAAAAATGTGAATCTATCTTGCATTCAGGATACATGACAATATAGCTATCATATATTGAATTTTAATCACATGCAAGTTAATGTACAAAGTGCTTCACATTTATTATCACATTCATTCTTCACAAGAACCCTTTAAGGAAGGAAGGCATAGTCTCATTTTACAAATTAGAAAACTCAAAGTCATGTAGCTAGAAAGTGACAGAACTAGAATTTGAACCTAGATCTCTCCAATTCCAATTCTACGTTTTTGTAGTCCTTACTATAATGACTAACTTTTGAGAATAAACTTTTGGATTGAGGTGATGCCAAATGTTAATAATGATTTATTGTCTTTGTTAAATATACTTGTTATGATAATCCAAGGTATAGTTGATGCCAACATATGTTTTATCTGTTTATTTTTGTCAACAGTTTCTGCCTGTATACATGCACATTCGAGTTCTGGTTGCTGCATATTTATTTCAGACAGGGTATGGGCATTTCTCATACTTTTGGATCAAAGGAGATTTTGGAATCCATAGAGTATGTCAGGTAGGAATGCTTTGTTGTTTTCCTTTCTTTCAGTTAAACATGCTTTCTTGAGAAAGCATTAACTTGAGAAAAAAATACAGTCATTATAAGACTATGAATAATTTGAACTTATGAAATAGCACTGTAAAGTTGTATTACGTCTGTGTTCTATGTGTAGTAATTCAAGATAAATTATTCGTGAAAGAAGGAAAATATAACTTAATATATAATAAAAGCATTGGTACACAGGAGACAGCATTGCTGATTCACTTTAGTTTTGTAGAAATAGACACATTATAACATGCTGTTTTCTTTCTCTGAGAAGAGGATATTAATTTTCTATCTAGTGCTAAGCAGTTTCTAAACATTATTTCATTTACCCCATATTACAACCTTGAATTGTTATCTTTATATTTACAGATGAGGAAAGTAAGATAAGGCTCAGAGAGTTTAAATAATTTGCCCAAGGTCGCATAGTAAGTGATACAGCACTAGTAAAAATCTGCCCAAATTCTGTGTTTTTTGAATGACATCAAACTGATATCTGAAATGACTGTTATGAAAGTCCCAAAGACACTTTTAAATTTGAGTTCTGAGTAATACTATTTTGTATCTGCGACAACTCCTAATTTAATCCCAAATGGGGTAAATCAAGCATGATAATGTAATCTATGCTTCTAAACCATAGTCCTAAGAAGGATGACTCTTTTCTCATTTAGCAAGATGCCAGTTATAGCCAGAGGACAGCTCAGGTTGGTGCTTTGCTGGGATTTAGTTAATGTAATGATGCATATATATTTTATATTCAACTCTTTACAGTGATTGCAGAACAAATATAATTTTAAAGATTAGTAATATATACTTGTACAGTCATTATTGAGTCTTAACCATTTATACTCTGTCAGAGAAAATTTGCCTTTGCTGTTCATGTATACCTAGAATTAAAACCATTACTTAGAATGAAAACCATTTTCTTCATTTTTTCAACAGGTTTTATTTCGTCTCAATTTTCTGGTAGTGGTGTTATGTATAGTAATGGATCGACCTTATCAATTCTATTACTTTGTCCCCTTGGTCACTGTATGGTTCATGGTCATATACATTACTTTAGCACTGTGGCCACAAATAATCCAAAAAAAAGCAAACGGTAAATGTACTTTCTTACTAATATTAGTAAATATGTTTTTCAGTGTGTGAAATTTCTTTTTAGTTGCTGAAGGATATTATTTTTATTAAATGATGTAGACAGTTTAAATTTATATGTAGTTTTGAAATTTTGAAATCTGTTCTTAAACTGTCTAAAAATGTTACAGCTAAGTAAAGTAATATAACAGTACAGAATAATAGTTTATATTACAAGTTTTTCGTTTTTTAAATTTAAATTCTTCACAACCATTTTGCATATTAACTAATGCTACAGTTTTTAAACTTTCTTTTTGTACAGAGGCAGAGTACAGAGAGCTGGAAGAGAGAAGGGAAAGTCAAATAGGGCTCAAAGTGCCTATGTCTTGCTTCAATCTTGGCAGCTCTACTTTGGTTTCATTATATATATGGAGAGAGAGAGAGAGAGAGAGAGAGAGATTTTGAGTAAATATTTCTTTGCAAAAGGCTTCTTACATCAAACACAATTTAAAAGCACTAATATATTTTCTAGACAAGCATCAAAGCAGTTATCAACCTGTTTTATATATAAGAAACCTAAATACCCAAAAGGTTGTTATTTTCAATTTTCACATGGTTAGTTACTAATAATGTTCAAAGTGAGGCCACACTCATTTACCTCAATGCTTTTTTTTCCTTCAAGATCTTTTCATTAAAATCTTCCTTTTTTGGAAAAATAATTTTTTATTTTTAAAAATGTATTTAACTTGACTCTTTCAACCAAATAGTATATGTCAAAAGTATTTTTCCATTGGCTTCCGATATAACATCAAATAATTTTTCAGGAATGAGTTGAGGTCTAGCCTCTATTAAAGTCCAGTAATGTCTTTGGACAGCCTCTGTAGTTTAATTTCTCTGTACAAACACAGCATATTAATCAAATAAACTATCAATATGTATAAACTTTGAACACATAATTTTAAATATGCACATGTTGAAATATATTTTATATTTAAACCCTAGTCCATTGGGGAGTTTAAGCTTTCTCCTTGGAATTTTAATGTTAAAGCAATATCACCTAAGTCATATTCAACAAAAGTATTTGTTAAAATTATATTGAATAGCTTGTTCCAGATTTTGTTGTAACTTTCAATAATGAATAAGTATAATTGAATCCAGGAGGCATTTTAAAATAAATTTCTAGTGGATGAACAGCAGGTGTACAGGGTATCAGTTACACTTTATAGCCTCATTCCTAGCAAGTATTCTTTGTTTTTCTTTTTGTCCTCCTACTTGTAACTTACAGTAAGTAGATATATTTTTTGCATTTTTGTAAACATCCTTATTTTAAGAACTATTCAGCATGTACATGTATCAAATAGAGAGTATTTAATATGTTGTCTACTATAAATTTATTTTTTAGTAAATTAAATATTTTCTCTCTTAGGAAATTGCTTCTGGCATTTTGGCTTACTGTTGAAACTAGGCTTTTTGCTGTTATTCATATGTTTTTTGGCATATTCTCAGGTTTGTACAATCTTTTCAGTTTATATGTTTTAATATTTTAAAGTTCAAGTATATTAAACCATGTGAGAAGAGTCAGGGCTTTTTTTTAGCTTCTTTTTTTAATGACTGTAATAAAAGTGTCACTCTGTAGTTCACTACTCAGTGTAGTTCTTTTGAGAAACATATACTTTTGTTACCATTGTTTTTGTTGCAAGAGCAATTTAAAGCTCTTCCTGTGGCAGTTGTTCAAGATCCATTTTACTTGACTTTGATCAATCAAACATGTTGAATGCTTCTTATAAGACCCTAGTCTAAATGGAGATCAAAATTTTCTTGACAGAATTTGCAGCTAGTTTGTGCATTATTCATTGCATCAAAGTGTTACTTGATTTTTCCATAATTACGTAGACTAAAATTTTGGCAGTTAGTAAAACCAACTTAAGAGCAAAGGGGCTCATATATATATAGTGTGGTATGTTTAATTGAATAAAATTTTTGGTCATTTTTTTCTTTTAGCTCTAACCTTGTATTTTTTTATTCTGATGACTGAGATTTTCTGTTATTTTAACAGGGTGGCAGTCTGCTACCTGCTGGTTAAATTCATCAGGCAGCCATATTATTGGGCAGCATGATATTTATAACAACACATTTTAATTTGAATGCCTGTAGTTGTGTCATATTCTGCAGTAAACTCACATCTCCAAGACTCTGTTTTGTACCTGGCTATGTCAGGTGGAAGGAAGTGCCCTATAGGCATTTTGTGTGTATGTATAATCCTATGCTGTTTGGGGTTTCTTTTTTCTTTCTGTAGACTTTTATATTTGGTTTTATAGTTAGAGGTCTTTAAAGCATATTATTTCTGCCTGACACTCAAGGTTTTTTATAGGAGATGAATAAGGAAACAACTGACAAATGTATAAAGAAATAGCCAGGTTACAGCAACAACATCTTGACAGTTACTCATTAAAATTCCCAACACTCTGTGGATACTGCTGACGGAAAGAAAGAAGAGCTGATTAGAGGTTCAGCCCAGGGATTAAGAATGTTTCCCTAGCTTTGGGTCAGTGTTGACCACTGCACAAGAACAAAAAACCCACTGTCTTTCACAAAATAGTACTTGATAAATACTTACTTATTCATCACGTAAGTAAACTTTTAATTAGAGATAAGATTTTAAATTGTGTATACATCATATATAATAATAGATCTGCTACATATGTATGATCCACAAGATTACTTATTTTATCTAAGAGATATATATACCTAGTGTATATCTATAATCATATTGATATATGTAATATATATATACACACACACATATATATGATCTATAAGTACTTCAGACTTCAGATTGCCACTCTTCGTAAAAATCATCCTTAATTTTCTGAGACGTAGATTTTGATATAACCTATTTTTAACATGCTATATACATTTTAAATTCTGTGGTTAAATGGAGATGGTTACATTTTATTAAAATACTATTATAAAGTTCTTCTGACCTAAAGATTCAGCATTATCTAAAATATAATATTATTTTTACATTTTTATTTGGCTTTTAATAGCCTCTTTTGAAGAGGCTATCATGATGCTACATTTTTTTATGCCATGGCATTATGTCTCATAATGGAGCTTTTCTTGATAAAGTTTGTTGTGATTCTTTATTCTGAAAATTGAGGGTTTTGTTCTCTTCTTTGAAAGACTTCATTAATGTGCAGGAATGTACCCAAGACTTCTGCCCCTTCATTCCCTGATTTTCCAAGCTGTCAGATTAATAAGAGGGCACTGTTCACTAACTTTACCAGAGTAAAATTGTAAACTTTGTTTTAAAGGCTGATAATGGCATTTGGTTATGGTTGATTGAGTAAGGTGACGAATTCAGAGTACTCTTTTAACTCAAATAGTTAATTATAGATTATTTAAGGACATTTGGAGAAAGATAACTGTATTTTAACTTAATAGTTATTCTTTGGGATATTGATACCATATTGGCTGAAATATTGTGTATTTTTCTGTTCGATTAGTAAACACTAACCATTTTGTCTGTGAGATTAAAAACCCTAAATAGAATGATCTTCTAATTACCAGATGTTTTGCTTTGGGGGTTTAAAAAATGTTACACTCTCAGTAGCCTTTCATGTGAAACTGAAAATAAATTTACCAGGTTTTAAGTCATCTTTTTTGGAAGGTAAATTTATTTTCAAATTTTATTAATTTCATTTGAAATATATTTCAAATGAAGTGATGTTTTCAAATGAAATAAAACAGAATTTTAACATTGTGAATGACTCTTACATAATCCAAACTTTAGAAGAATACAATTTATAATAGAATTGCAAAGCAAGTATTGACTTGTACCATCTTAATTTACTTTCTGGATTTCTTTTCTCAGGGTGCATTTGAGAAGATCTTTTCTCTTTGGCCATTGTCCAAGTGTTTCGAGCTAAAAGGGAATGTATATGAATGGTGGTTCAGATGGAGGTTAGACCGTTATGTATGTATTTACTTTGTGGTATTTTGAAATTTCAATTTATACTGTTGGAAAATGATTTGGAAATTTTTGATCTATCTGTACTTAGTTTTAGAATAAAGAAAGATGTTTATTTAGTAAATCAAAACAGTCTACTACCCCCTGCCCTTGTTTCTTTACAGCAGTGAAACAGTGTGCGTATTTATATATATCTGCTGGGAAATATTGTTTAAAATGTTATCTATAACATGGCCTCTGTCTGACTTATAATTTTGATTTATAGGTGATCCATTGTATATATGCTTCATCCATTCAAAACAATGTTTATTGAGTTTCAGTATATGCCCTAGATGTTGATGTCATGAAATATACATTAGAGAATGAAAGAATACATGCCAGTAGGCTTCTAAGCCTTAAGAATCTAGTTTAAAACCCAAGATTACTATTCTAAGAGGAGACTAAACTATGCAATATAGATTTTGTGGTGGATGTATGCAAAGAAGAAAGAGCAGTATCTTGTATCAGTCTATGAACTTGATCTTGACGAAGAGTTAAGGTTCATTTGGCCAAGAAAATGTACATCTAGCACAGCATTTGGAAAACAGATACTAAATAACTATTACTGCATTCTTTCCTTTTTTTCTTTCATTTTTGACTCATCTCTTTTTTCCAACAAATGTTTTCTTAGTGCTTATTCTTTGCCTTTCCTCATTTCCAACACTTGTGCACTTTTCCATTGCACTACATTGCATTTCAAAACCATATCTGAATTAAAATCTTTGCTAAAGTCTCACATCAAATAATTTTTAAATTCTTAATGTTCTCATTAGAGCAGTATACTATGATATGACTGTACCAGAATATTTAGGCTGCTGTAACAGTGTACCGTAGGTTGGGTGGCTTACAAACAATGAAAATTTATTTCTTACGGTTTTGGAAGCTGGGAAGTAAAATCACACCAGGAGATTTGGTCTGGTGAGAGCCCACTTGCTATTTCATAGACATTTGTCTTCTCACTCTGTTCTCACGTGCTACAAGGGTCAAGGATGCTCTCTGGGGTCTTTTTCTTTACAGGGCATGAATCCCATTCACGAATGCTCCGCCCTAATGACCAACCAAAGGCTTTACCTCCAAAACTATTACACTGGGGATTAATATGATTCAACTTCACGAAGTTTGGGTGGACACAAACATTTGGTCTGTTGCAATAATAGTTCACATTAAGTCTTTGTTTGAAAAGAGAAAGGTCATGTGCTTTCTGATCTACCGTATTTTTTTCACTTTATGAGCATACACTTTTTTTCAAAAGTATGACTTGGTGGTGTTATTCTTTGTTTTAATTGACTGAAAGGACTGAAATAAAATGTGTTTTATCTTTGTTGGGTGCATTTAAATTTTATCATATGTCTATAGGAGGGTTTCTTATTATTTTTAAATTGTCTTTATTACTTCTCTTACTGCTGAGACTGCTCAGAATGAACCAGTGTTATCTCATATTGTCCCAAGAGATGCTTGCTTGTCTATTGCTGATGGTTTCTAACAATCATCGACCTTATTTCATTTCTTAGAAGTTTCACTCTTGAAGTCCTTCATAGACACTTCAATCTTTAAGCTTTTAACCTACCTAATTTATTCATATATTCCTCACTAACCAAATATTTTTTCTGTTTTTTGAAAAGTAACTGTTTAAAACAAATCTCTCTTTGCTTTTCAGGTAGTTTTCCATGGAATGCTGTTTGCCTTCATTTATCTGGCTTTACAGAAGCGTCAAGTACTTTCTGAAGGAAAGGGTGAACCTCTTTTTTCAAACAAAATTTCAAATTTTCTGTTGTTTATTTCAGTAGTTTCTTTCTTGGTAAGTTTTGAAAACTTTCCAAAATCCTAAATGGTATGGAATATTAAGATATGGGAATATAATCAATTATTTTTAATAATAAACCTTTAACAATTATTTTTCTCCTTATTTTTTTTTTAATATTTAGAAATTTTAATACTTCTTTTCCAGTAATTGACAGGATGGCTAGGCAAATTTAGTAAAGTTATAGAATATCTTAAGGACACTATCAATTAATTTGACCTGAGTTGTTAGAATAGGGTAAGCAATAATAGCAGAATACACATTCATTTCAAATGTATGCAAAATGTTTGCCAAGATAAACCATGTTTTTATCTATAAAAATAGTTTCAATAATTTTAAAAAATTATTTATAATTATTATGAATATGTATTAGTTCATATTTATGGGACATGTGGTATTTTGATACAAGCATACAATGCATAATGATCAAATTGAGGTAATGTTAAGTGCTTGAAGCAATATATATCTCCTTATTTTTCTAACTGGACATAAATTCTATAGGGAATATATATCTAAGTTAAAAATGAAGAATAACTGAGAAATCAATGAAATGGGAATTTTAAAAGTTACAGTAAATTTGGGAGAAAATATAAGGTAAGGTGTTTTATATGGAGAGCCATCACTGTCTTTTAGTCACTATTTCCAGAAAAGCACAGACTTGTATATCTCCCTCTGTGCTTCTTATGTTTTGACAGTTGAACATGCCAACTACGTAAATGATGAAGTATAATGCTATAAATTTAAAAAAAAACTAAAAAGAAAAAACAAACAATTCTGAGGCTTATGCCTCTTTCAGACTTGTTTTTGTGAACTGTTCCATACAATTTTTTGTTTTAGACCTATTCCATCTGGGCTAGCAGTTGTAAAAACAAAGCAGAGTGCAATGAACTCCACCCATCTGTTTCTGTGGTACAGGTACTTATCTTGATTTAGAGAAATTTTTATGTCTTAATTCTTGGTATGAAAATTGTTTTTAGAGGCAGAGAGGTTTGAGATTGAACTCCAGAAAATGTAGAGAAGTAACTTCATCTTTATAAACCCTTCCTTTCTCTGTAGTAATAGGGATATTAAAATCTCTTTCAAAGGGTTCTTGTATTAAATACATGGAAATGATGTGGTTTAGTATTTTTCACTTAATCTGCCCTTAGAATATGTTAATTCTCAGCCGGACACAGTGGCTCACACCTGTAATCCCAGCACTTTGGGAGGCTGATCATGAGATCAGGAGTTCAAGACCAGCCTGGCCAACATGGTAAAATCCTGTCTCTTCTGAAAATACAAAACTTAGCTGGGCATGGGGGCTGGTGCCTGTAATCCCAGCTACTCAGGAGGCTGAGGCAGGAGAATCACTTGAACCCAGGAGTCAGAGTTTGCAGTGAGCTGAGATCGTGCCATTGCACTCCAGTAACAAGAGTTAAGACTCAGTCTCAAAAAAAAAAAAAAAAAGCTAATTCCTTTTCTTATATTTGCTTTTTCATCTATTCAGATTTATTTAATCTCAGTTGTTAATTATCTATGTGTTGACTCTCATGCTACATATAAGAGAATTAATGTTAAACAGATACAGTTTCTGTCACCTCTATTCTAATAAAGATATGGATCAGTAAACATTGATTCATTTATTTAACAATTAAATTTTTTTTTAGTTTTTTCTTTTTTTGTGTGTCTCTCGTTTTCTTATTTTTTTACTTACCCCAAGCCGAATTAACAATTTTAAAAATTTATTTAACAAATAGCCACATGTTGTGGTTCACACCTGTAATCCCAGCACTTTGGGAGGCCAAGGTTGGTGGCTCACCTGAGATCAGGAGTTCAAGACCAGCCTGGCCAACATGGTGAAACCCTGTCTGTACTGAAAATACAAAAATTAGCCAGATGTGATGGTGGGTGCCTGTAATCCCGGCTACTTGGAAGGCTGAGACTGGAGAATCACTTGAACCAGGAGGTGGAGGCTGCAGTGAGCCAAGATTGCGTCATTGCACTCCAGCCCATCTCAAACAAACAAACAAAAAGTTCATACTAGATATTATGCCAAGGGTTGCAGTGGTTACCAAATCAAATACAGTTCCTTCTCTCTTGGAGCCTAGATTCTTTTTAGTGTTGTACAGCTTGTGCAGTGCTTTAATTATAATAACTCATCAAATGGTTTGGTGTTTAAAGTCTTTATTTAGGTCTCACTTTCATGATTTTCACCATTTTGTATATCACCTATGCTATTAATTATTTAAAATGTTTCTTTAAATGACTCACAACCTGTGCTATAATAAGTACCTTACATATGTTTTCTCATTTAATGTTCACATCAACCTTTCAAAGTAAAGCTTATCTTTATTTGTATAAATTAAGAAAAAGACCTACAAGATTAAGTGCCTTGCCACAAGTCCCAGAACTAACACAAGCAAAATACTAGATTCGAATTTGAGTCTTTTTGATGCTATTGCCGATGAGAATCACTCAACTTAATTATACCCTAGTAGTTCACTTTGGTTCCTTTTTCCCATGTTATCTCCTCCTAGTTCATCTTTTATGCATCTTAGAGACTTCTTAGATCCTTTGACAAAATCTCAAGAATGATTGAATATGAGTTTTTCCCTGAAGTATGAATAGATTTGTCAATCCTTTTGTAAGAGAAAGTTTCTGGAAAGTAGTTGTGAAAGTGGAAATACTTTTTTTCTTTAGTTTCTTGCTTTTTTATAAAGAGGGTGGATTCTAAGGAGAGGATTCTTTGCTTGGTAAGCTGGTTACTGGATGTGAGACAATGATTTGGAGGTTTAGAAAATGCAGGATTGTTCCATCTGGTACCAAAGGATAGAGGAGAGGGTTAAAGGCCAGGATCCCAAAAGCTGGAGATTCTTTCAGGAGAGAAAAGATACAGAGAGGAAAATATATTACATGTGAATATAATTCAAGACATCATTTATCAGGCCATGCAGAGCGAACATGAAGACATGTTAAAAGCCATGTCATTTCCCATACTATCATGGCTGTCAGCAAAAGGAGGATTTTGAAGGGAGTAAAGAAAGTGTGTGACTGCCAACCAAAGAGATACTTTAGGAGAGCAGCAAAATTGTATCATAGGATTTTGTGAAATGTTGCTGCATAAATATGATAGTAACTTTTTCTACACAAAGGGCCTTAGACAAATTTGTAATTTTTCCAATAGACATAAAATTGTTAAGCCATGTACTACTTAAAATGTGCATTGGTATACAGCATACAGACCATGTGTTAAGAAATCCAGTTTGGGTAGACTCTAGAACAAAAATAACTTTCTAGTTCTTTTAGAATATAAAAATACTATTATGTATTTGTCAAGTTCACAAACATAAAGAATAAGGTTATTTAAAAGAAAGCTTTACAAAAATACTTTTCAATAAAGAGATTATTAATATTTACCTTTGTGCTTTTTTTTTTTTAGATTTTAGCCTTCATCCTAATAAGGAACATTCCTGGATATGCCCGTTCAGTTTACAGTTCCTTTTTTGCTTGGTTCGGAAAAATTTCATTAGAGGTTGGTACATTAATAGTTTGCTTATTGCACACATCCAGGTGTTACGTGTGTGTGTATGTACATGTATATGTGTGTAAATATCACACGTATATATGTGAGTATGAAAATCAGACATACTTTTTTCTAAACTAAAGCTATTATGGAATTACAAGGAAAAGACTCAGAACTCTCAAAATAGTGAAGTATTTTGAAATGTTTTTAAGCCTTCATTTTTAAATGACTAGATATAGATTATTTACAAAATATTATTTACATTATCTTCAGCTTTCAAGCACAGCCAACATGCTGAGATCAAGAGAGAAAAATATTAGACCAGATACAAATGAAATCAAGCTGAAGGGAGTTTGATTTTTTTGTTCATCTTCATAATTAAATATTATATTACTAGAATGCAGTTTATTGATGTGTACCATAATAAAATTTACCCTTATTATAATTGGAAATTATGGGAGAAAGTATAAACTCATTACATTTTGTGTGAGATACATAATATGAAATTATTTGCAAGATCAGTTTGAACAGTAGGTTTTGAAATATATTCTGAGTAGTACAAGCTTTATTATTTGAAATAGAATGTTTTAAAACAATTTATATTGTAATCATAACATATTTTAGAGCTTTTAGAGTGTAAGATTTATTAAATTACCTCTTAAAATAGGGAAAATAAATTCCTCTCTGAGTTCTTGAATAATTGTTCTATCATTTTCTTTGGTCTCATTTGTAAGAGAGATTGTATTAACAGTTGGAATTCTAAGGAATAGACTGAAGTGGACTTTTCAGGGCCAATAGTGAGACAAAAAGCTTTCTAATGTTATTATGCTGTCAAATGTTTAAATTAGGAACAACTGTAATTTATTCATGGATTCTCTGTAAATACCTGACTTAAATCTTTTTTCTCCTAGCTATTTATTTGCCAGTACCACATATGGCTGGCAGCGGACACAAGGGGTATCTTGGTACTGATACCTGGAAACCCTATGCTCAACATCATTGTCAGCACTTTCATTTTTGTTTGTGTGGCACATGAAATTTCTCAGATCACTAATGATCTTGCACAGATTATTATTCCTAAAGATAACTCATCTCTCTTGAAAAGGTTGGCATGTATAGCTGCATTTTTTTGTGGACTCCTCATCTTATCATCCATTCAAGATAAATCAAAACAATAGGTTCCAAAAATTCTAAAAAACCTAAATTCTTCAGGCTTACTTTGTGTCTGTCTAGAATAGAAGAGCATCTATCTGGAGATATAAACATATATGTAAATATAAACCTGTGTGGCAAGTGGACAGTTCTGTGACATCTGTTGAACATGTATGGTTGTATATATTGGGAATGTACATATCCAGTGTGAAATACTAAAAACAACAACAACAAACCCAGAATACATTGTATAGGAGAGCATGTGAAGTCTTTTCTACTGAATCTATATTTCCATTTGTAGATGATTTTAAGTTAACATATGAAGACAGGGAAATGATTACCTTTCCAGTAAAAAGTATAGATAATTTAATTAACTTAGTGACACTACGAAGTGTTTTGCTATAACTAAATTTGTGGTCATAAGATTGTCTGCACCTATATTCATTGTGGAACTTCCTGTTTCATTGGAAACTTTCTTACTCAAGAATGACTGCAGGATTTTTTCTTATATGTGCAATGAAGTGGAATGATAAACAGTATGCCTTTAATTTATATGTGTTCTTGTTCTGATGTTATGTTTCCTGAAATGATTTTTCTTCCTAACTGTGGTTTTCAGGTATGCAAGCCTAAATCTTTGTACACTTTTCTCACAGAATAGTTCTGGGGTTCCATGACAGGGTTTTGTCATTGTTGATATTATTGTTGCTTCTTTTTATAAAAAAGCCAAAATTTTGTTTCCAATCCAAACATTCACCTGTTTCCTTTCCTCAAGCTATACCAGTGTAATACGAGTTATCCTGTGGATTCATTTAATATGTTATCCCCTCTAATTAATTTTTGTGTATTATTTCCAATGTTTGGAAAGCTCTTTATAGCCATTTGGTATTTCCTATTACCCACCTCCTATTTTAAATATTTATCAGTCTAAACTTGTACAGTATAGTAAACATACAAGTTGTTATGATTGAATTGTATTACCATAAGTAGAATTTTAAGTAAACTGGTGACTTTGGGCAATAAATGTTTTTGCTTTTTGTTTTGTTTTTTTCTACAAGCTGTTACAGGTATACATTTATTTATCTGTTGTACAGATTTGATTAATTTTTAATGTTTGAAAGATTGCACTTGTTTGCTTTTACTATGTGTGGGGTAAAATATTTTTCTGTTCACAGTGTATGAAAATATGGAGTAATTTAAACAGTAAATAAACATTCTGTGGATGCTTATTTTTGTATTGGCAAAGTATCAATTAAACTATATGTGTTCTTTTTCAAAAATGCTGGATCCAGTAATGATTGGTTCAAATATCTGATTTATTTCCTCAACTTAAATTTTCTTTTTAAATTTCTTAGTATATATATAGGAATAGATCACTAACTGATAGTTGGATAAGAAATCATTTAGTTATCAGAGCTTCAAAGGGTCATCTGCTTTCTACTAAGGAAGTTTAAGCATTACGGTTCATTAGTGATTTTGCTTGAAGATTTAAAAATGTAATTATTATTTCTTTAGCACTGGATTTATGTGCTATTGATATATCCCCATTAATTGAGGAATATTTATTGGACAGAAATGTGTGTTCTTTCCTTTTCTCTCTTCTTTTGCCCTTACTTAATCTTTTGACATTTCACAGATAGACAATTGTAATGATGCATTGCTCTGCCTCCTAGACTGCAGCCTTATAAGTAGAGAATAGTATAGTTATAAATCAAAAACTTCCAAGTACTGTGATCACATTATTCTTCCTCATGTAGCTTGCCAATGAGTAGAGTGCATTTTAATTTAGCTTGTAAGTTTTACCACCTGAAAAAGATTATTCTTGTTGAAATAATTGGAAAAGAAAGATGACCGGTATCCCTGTGTGTTTTAGAAGCACTTATATCTTCAATAGTGATGCCCAAGTGAATATATGCTTTTCTCTCCTGTTTGAACTCAAGCCTAAAACTTACCTCTTCATCACATGTTCTTATTTAATAAAAAGCACTGTTTTTACATATATATAATAATTCATATAATTTAAATATATTTGTAGTTAAAATATGTTTTGTATTTGATTTTCTTAATTGGTCTTCAAAGGTTGTGGAAGCTGCCACAGTGATAGCACCTGTATATATAATAAACATCTTAATATTTTATTTTCTGCATTGACTCAGATACTGACCAGTGGCATTACTCAATCATACCATTCTTCAGAATAAGATTTTTAACAGAATGTTCAGATACACTAAAGTTGAGGTAAAACCACAGAGATTCTCTAAATTCAGATTTTCTGTAATAGAAATCACAGTCAGAAATCTACCATCTGGCTTTAAAAAGTGACTCAATTTTACCTTAATCTTTTTCCTTTCCTTTGCCAAAACTTCCCAATTTTGTGGATAACCAACAGAAGTATTAAAAATTCAGCCCACACCTAAATTAATAGTGTTTTACAAGGACATGGAACCAGAGTTCATTTACTATTCTTTTCTCTATGTTCATCATAGATATTGGCCTGAAGTTTTCTTTTCTTGTTGAGTCTCTGCTGGGTTTTAGTATCAGGATGATGCTGGGCTCATAACATGATTTGGGAGGGATTCCCTCTTTTTGGATTGTTTAGAATAGTTGCAGGAGTGGTAGCAGCGCCTCTTTGTATGTCTGGTAGAATTCACTGTGAACCCTCTGGACCTGGGATTTTTTTGGTTGGCAAGCTATTAATTGCTGCCTCAACTTCGGCCCTTGTTATTGGTCTTTTCAGGGTTTCGACTTCTTCCTGGTTTAGGCTTGGGAGGGTGCAAGTGTCCAGGAATTTATCCGTATCTTCCAGGTTTACTGGTTTATGTGCATAGAGTTGTTTGTAGTAATCTCTGATGGTAGTTTGTATTTCTGTGGAATCGGTGGTGATATCCCCTTTATCGTTTTTTATTGCATCTATTTGATTCTTCTCTCTTTTCTTATTTATTAATCTGCTTAGCGGTCTGGCTATTTTATTGATCTTTTCAAAAAACCAGCTCCTGGATTTATTGATTTTTTTGGAAGGGTTTTTTGTGTCTCTGTCTCCTTTAGTTTTGCTCTGATCTTAGTTATTTCTTGTCTTCTGCTAGCTTTTGAGTTTTTTTGATCTTGCTCCTCTGGCTATTATTATTTTCTTGAATGACTTTATACTAAAACCTTAAAAAGAGAATGCATCCTGGATATAGTCATTGATATCATAAACTGGATATGTTCCATGGCTTGCATTGCAGATAATTCAGTGTTTGCCCTGATGAACTGGTTGTATCACATGGGAGTCTGCTTTATAACAGGAGATTAGGTAGGATTGTACTTACAGATTTTTGGAACAGTTGAAAGAAATTCAATTCCTTACATCACTGAAGAGAAAAATGACCTTTTTAGCTTAATGGTGAAGACTGAAATAAAGATTGCCAATTTTGGTGGCAGTTCAGTCCATCTTAGCACTTGGAATATTTCTCTGCAAAGACATTCAAAAATGATTACATATATTTGTGACTTAATTTGTTTATTCTTAGAATAATTGTGATTTGGTAAAACTTAATTTGGCAAGGTGTATTCTGGTTCATTTTGTTATACTAAAAGTGGTTTCCAGAAAAGGAAGTAGCAGTCCGAAATATATTCCCAAAATTGTGGTGTTTGATGACTGATGTCCAGAATAGATTTCTGATTTTATTTATTTATTTATTTATTTATTTAATTTTTTGAGACAGGCTCTTACTCCATCACCCAGGCTGGAGTGCATTGGCACAATCTTCGCTAACTGCAACCTCCGCCTCCAGGTTCAAGCAATTCTCCTGCCTCATCCTCCCAAGTAGCTGGGATTACAGGTACCTACCACCACTCCTGGCTAATTATTGTATTTTTAG